CCCCTTTTTTCCCAGGAGCAGAAGATACAGAATGAGATCCCAAACGAGCATTGACTAAATATTTTTGATCTTTAGCTATAATATGTGTTTCCTGCAAACAAATAATATCATTATTATGTTGCTTTAAATAATGAAAGATTTTCTTTCTCTTCTGGGGGGAATTAAGGCCGTTAACATTCCAAGTCAGGAGTTTTACCATCTCCCTTAACCAGAAGCCTGGAGAAGGCTGCTTGAAGATCTGCCATTGAAGAATGTGCCGCAGAACTCTTAGGTCTTGCTCCTCCCACCGGCAACAAAGCACTTTCTTGAAGAGATTCTTTAGCCTCTTTCCTCTGTTGTTCCTTTTCCTTGCGTCTATGCGCTGCACAGGTCATTCTTTGCTCTTTAATCTCTGCTTGTCGGGACCACTCCAACTGTAACTCTCCAACCGCCATCACACCTGGTCCTTCAGACGGCTGTTCAACCTCTTTACCATCCAGAACTTTCTGCATCATGGATGATGGTGAGCCTGCTCCCAGGACCGAACTGTAAAACTCCTTTGCTTTAGTGACTGTATTAAGTCTATAACGCGTCCCCGCATGGCTCAGAACAATACCCATCGGAATCTCCCATCTGAATGGCATCATTCTTTTTTTAAGTTCATTAGATAAGAAAGCAAAATCTTTTCTCTTTCTTAGAATTTTAGATGGGATCTCCTTTAAAATAATAACATCTTGAGCAGCAAACTGGAATCTCTTATTATAGAAGGCTTGTATGATTTCATTGCGCAGAGATCTCTTTCCAAAATAAACCACCACATCTCTTGGTAAATTTCTCTGTTTTGCAATCCAGGAATTAACTCTAAATAATTTTTCAACCTCTCTGCGTATTTCCTCTTTCTCCCTATTCAAAATAACAGCAAAGTCATTTACCACAATCTCTCTCAAATCTTGCTGCATATCTTCTTTCAGACCCCTAATTCTTAAGGCATATTCCATTTCTCTGTACTGAGACATAACAATGTCATCCTGTGAAATTTCCATCTTTTTTTCCATGCCTTCAAACCTATCTTCCAAGATGTCAACCTTGTCTGCAACCTCTTCAACTCTAGAGTCAAGCTTCTCAACCACAGAAGCAAGTCCTGATAGAGCCATAACTATATCTTGCCTCAAAATAGTGTTATTCTGCTTCAACAGATTCTTCACTTCCCCTCTAATTTCAGTTTTATTCTGATCTAGAAGCTCCTTCATTTCCCCTCTGATTTGAGTTACTGCATTTCCCATTATATCTTTCATATCTTGTACAGATATTACTGGCAGAGGAGGAGAAGATGGTGGTGTAGCTTTAGGTTGTTGTACCGGTAAGATCGCAGGAGAAGAAGCCACCTTAGGAACTGTAGAAGCTGCTTGCCTTTTTGAAGCCATTTTTTTTAAAAAAAATTTTTTTCTTATTTCCACTTTATAAAAAAAATACTCAAAGAATTAAAAAAAACAAAGGAGAGTTTAAAAGATATTTCAAAAACACAAAACCACTTTCAGAAAAAGAGGAAAAAGTTTAAAAAAAAAAAACTATATAGTCCATAACATTCCGTTTGACTCACTTTCTTTTTCTCCCGAAAAAAACTTTCAAATCGCCATTTTACTTTCACTCTCCACACAAACAAAAAAAAACAAAAAGAAAAAGATCAACCTAAACTAAAAAGCAAATAAAACTCAATAAGTCAAATCCTTTATCCAGCTCTGTCCGCTTTATATAAAAAAAATCACTCACCCTATCCCTTTAAACGCGGAGATGGTAGCGGCGTTTCACTTTGTTCCCAGAGGAAACAAAGACAGCTGGGAGGCGGAGGCAATCCGAACTCCGAGGGAGCTCTCTTTCTACCCCCCCCCCAAAAAAAAATCCCTGGGGGGTTTGAGATGCTCTACCTCTATTTGGGTGGTTCTCTCCCCCCTCCCTTCGCCCGGGAGGGGGATTTCGAGCCACGGAACAGCTGGTGACTGCTGTATTCCGCGGTTCTCACGCTGACCCAGGAGGACGGCTACAATGTAGCCGCCATCATCGACGCTAACCACTGGAAGTCCTCCAATGTATCTAATTCTTATTAAAGTGTCCAATTCAATAGCCATCAGTGCATCTTAATAGTAACAACTTGCATAGATCAATTATTTACTATGAGAATAAGTATTTCATTTAATTAAAATATAATTGAGTAGTTATTATTTAAAAAGTAAATAGTGGAGCATTGCAATTCACACAATCTGAGATATATTAATCATTTTTCTTCATGGATTTGTATTTATATTTTCTAAAGTGTGACATTTGTAACATCTATCCAGAAGAATATGAGAAAAGACATACTACTGTAAAATAAAAGGATTTGAAATTAGTAATTAGGGCACATTTATTCACAGCTTTATGCTTTCTATTGCCCTTTCTCTAGGCAATGATTCCAAATCTCTCCAAATTCTAAAGTTTTATCTTTTGAATGTAATTCAATGGTTTAAAAGTATGGTTCAATGTTACAACACCTATCTTATTTTTGAAAGATGAAATGCTTGGTGTTTAATATTTCCTGTTGACATGGATGGAACACCACCATCTCGAAACCTAAAAAATTTATATTAATTGTATAAATAGGAAAGACAATGTGGATCAAGTATCTGACTATTTCATTAGCATTATTGCCATTGATTCCTTACAGTGTCAATTCCAATACATTGTTTAGACTGAGTGATTTAAAACTAAGCCCACAAATACTTAATATGTGTGCTTCTCTGTGGCTAAACAGGAAGTCAGTTGAACCCAGATATTCTGATTTCAGTTTCATAAACTGAAGCTGCTATGACAATACCTAGAGTTATGGGACCTAGAGACCGAAGCACCTAGTGGTTACAAAATACAGTAGCTTAACCCTGCCACAGAGCATTTTCAGCATATTGTGTGACATCCACACTGATGGTCAAGAACAGGTCTTGAAGCAAGAAACAGTGCATGGGCCAATAATGAAACTGACTATTCACACATTAATTCTAGGACATATAAAAGTGGGATTTCTGAAATGTTTATAAATGCAGACTTGCAGATCATTGATATATTGCAGCAAAACATTATAAGAAAACATCATGCTGACAGTAGCTTCAAGTGTAAAAATAGCTTAATTCCAGCAGCGCACCATATTAGCTATGTAATTTAGCAGCAGCACTAATCATGTTTCTGCATGAAAGCAACAGTATTACAGTGAGTGATTCAGAAACTGCCATTAAAAAGCCAAAGCTAAACATTTTTCTCCTGCTGTGTTAATTTTGTTGTTCCCCTTTTTACATTTTAGGATTGAACACTGAAACATTTCTTACATTAAATGGCTGGAGGTTGGGTTTTTTTTTTCTTTTTCCAAGAGAACAGACTAATACAATTAATCTAGCTGAACTGGAACTATGGGTTCTATTTTACTATTAATTAATTCCAGATTCCTGATATTGATCGGGTGTCAGAGTTCAAACTAAAATCCACTAAAGATGTTCCAGACAGCAGTCAAGTCTTGCTAGCCATGAGAACCACTTGCTTTACAAATAAAAATAAAAACAGCTTTATTAGAAGCTACATCTGTCTTTTCTGCTTGTTGTGCTGCAAATGGACTATTTCTCTTGTTTCCAAGTATTGCTGCTGTAACAAAACTACCAGAACGTCTGGTAAAGAACAGTGCAAAGATATTGAGATATCTCTTTTCTCCATTTGTTTTATACAGTATGTCTGTGAATTGTTGCTTCCAAAGCTGCTTTTCAGTATATCCATCCATTTTGCCTCTTCTGCCCTAATGCCTCCCTTTTCCTTCTCCTTCCAAAATTGGAAAAAGGGGTATCCTATCTCCACATGAGATTGCTTGAGTGCAACAACTAACCAAGGATAATCAGCCTACAAAGAGGACAAGCCAATGACAGATTAGTGCAAAGTTTAACAGATTTTCATCTAGGCAAATATCACATACTCCTCTTACAAAATAAAAGGTGGATCATTGACAGACCTCCAGGAAGGTAGCACCTAAAGAAAGAAAAGCTATGGCAAAACTAAAAGCTATGGCAAACCTAGACAGCATACTAAAAAGCAGAGACATAACCCTACTAACTAAAGTATGTATAGTCAAGGCCATGGTTTTCCCAGTTGCAATGTATGGCTGTGAAAATTGGACCATAAGAAAGACTGAGCGCAAAAGAATTGAGGCCTTTGAACTATGGTGCTGGAGGAGACTCCTGCAAGTCCCCTGGACTGCAAGGCGATCAAACCAATCAGTCCTAGAAAAGATCAACCCTGACTTCTCTTTAGAAGGCCAGATCCTGAAGTTGAAACTCAAGTACTTCGGCCACCTAATGAGAAGGAAAGACTCACTGGAGAAGAGCCTAATGCTGGGAAAGATTGAGGACAATAGAAGAAGGGGACAACAGAGAATGAGGTGGCTGGATGGAGTCACTGAAGCAGTAGGCGTGAGCTTAAATGGACTCCAGAAGACAGGAAGGCCTGGAGGAACGTTGTCCATGGAGTCACGATGGGTTGGACATGACTTCGCAATTAACAACAACAACAAGGAAAGAAAATCCCTCTGCCTTCATCCCCTGCCTCCAATTTATATTTGATAACTTTATATATGTTGAAACATATTCAGTATAGTCACAATGAATAGACAATGTACAGGTACTGGCTAACATCTTTTATAAGTCATATTGAAGTCTGTAGAACTTCTTGGGTTTTTTAATTCTGCCTTCAGAAAGCTGGTATTTGGGTTCTAAAATAAATTAAATCAAAGTTAAACTGAGTAAGTATATTTTTACATTAACTCTACTAGTCCAGGCCAATAATGACAAAAATGAATTTAAAGATGAGGCAAACTAACATATTTTTTCTTTTTTCCTTCCTAAATAATGCCCAAAGATTGTGTGTAAGTGTTCTTTTGTCTACCAAGCCAAGTAAAATTTAATCTGATCAGTTCAATTTGCCTTTTTTTTTTTCATTCTATTTTCTTCTGCCAGAATTTCTGAGATTAGCCTGGAAGTTGCAAGCACAGGAAATGTATCAAGAAGAACTCCAAGCGCCCAATTGATTGAACAATGTAACTGTCCTGTGGGCCATTTTGGTTTCTCATGTGAGGTAGTATATCTCGTGCCTATAAGTTTATCTCAAAGTGCTTATGAATTATATTTGAATGGATAGGATATAATCTACAATATAATGTTTGAATTCCATACATGAATTATTTTTGTATGCAATAGATTATTATGCATTATTTATATTTTGGGTTATTGTAAATGATAATATAATAATCTATACTATAGGAATATGTATATAAAATCACCTTTAATATATAGGTATACATCCTCCCATGCTTTTATTATTATTTATCTTATGAGTTTTGATTTAGCAATTAGAATTCTGAATCTAAACCAGATTGCTTTCTGTTTCATTGCTCGCAACATCTGAGTGGCTTTCTACCTTCCATTTTTTTCCCATATCAGTGAAGAATTGCAATGAAGGAAAATTCTGAAAGGAAAAATTGCTCAGAAGGATTGGAAAATTCTGAAAAATTATATAATCTGATAGACCTAAGGCAGTGTTTCCCAAACTTGACAATTTTAAGGCATGTAGACTTCAACTCCCAGAATTCCACAGCCAGCATTGCTGGCTGTGGAATTCTGGGAGTTGAAGTCCACATGCCTTAAAATTGTCAAGCTTGGGAAACACTGACCTAAGGTGTCCTGTACTTTGTATATATATCAGAGATATTGGGTGGAAGGGAGGAAGAAGTTGTCCAATAAAAGAAATGGAGCTGAAGAATATTATGGACTGTGTTTGTTTTTCTTTTCTTTTCTTGCAGGCCTGTTCCCCAGGTTTTTATAGACTTGCTTCTCCATATACTGGCAGAAGGCCAGGTCCTGCCCTAGGAGCCTGTGTCCCTTGTTCATGCCACGGGCATAGTGAAATGTGTGACCCTGAAACCTCAATTTGTCAGGTATAAAAAGTATGCTTTTTTAAAGATGATTTATTCTATTCCTATTTTCCACATTCTGAAAACATCTTTACAGCTGAAGTCATCAAGAATTATTGGACAATACAGTTTTTAATGTCAGTTTTAAAATTGATTTTAATTGTAAGATTTACTAAAATACTAGCTAGTTTCTTTGAAGTCATTCACATTATGCTCAGAAAATAAGTACTGACTTAACCGTAGCGGTACATTTCTGTAGTGGAAAATAAAATAAAAACATGTAATTGCTCCCCAAGTTGATTGCTTTCATTTCCATGATGGCAGTGTTTAATGTCTGCTATCTAACAAAATGAAATTCAATGGTGAAAAATTTAGGCAAGAAAAACCAAATGCACAGGTATAGTATAGGTGGTACCTTGCTCAATAGTAGTAACTGTGAGAGGGATCTTGGAATTCTAGTGGACAAACACTTAAATATGAGCCAGCAGTGTGGTGCAGCTGCCAAAAAACCCCAACACAGTTCTAGGATACATTAACAGAGGGATAGAATCAAAATCACATGAAGTGTTAATACCATTTTATAATGCCTTGGTAAAGCCACCCTTGGAATATTGCATCCAGTTTGGTCACCTCGATGTAAAAAAAGAGGTTGAGTCTCTAGAAAGAGTACAGAAAAGAGCAACAAAGATGATTAGGGGACTGGAAGCTAAAACATATAAAGAACAGTTGCTGGAGCTGGGCATGTCTAATGAAGAGAAGGACTAAGGGTGACATGATAGCAGTCTTCCAATATCTCAGGGGTTGCCACGAAGAGGGAGTCAAGCTATTTTCCAAAGCACCTGAGGGCAATTAATGGAAACTAATCAAGGAGAGAAGCAACCTAGAACTAAGAAGAAATTTCCTGACAGTTAGAACAATTAATCAGTGGAACAACCTACCTCCAGAAGTTGTGAATGCTCCAACACTGGAAGTTTTTAAGAAGAGACTGGACAACCATTTGTCTAAAATGGTATAGGGTTTCCTGCCTGAGCAAGGGATTGGACTAGAAGACCTCCAAGGTCCCTTCCAACTCTGTTATTCCATTCTATTCTGTTATCACCCATTTATTTATTTATTTATTTATGAGACTTATATACCGCTTTAAGTGCAAGTACTCTCTAAGCGGTGTACACCAGTAAGCAATGTATATATATATTTACATTGCCCCCAACAATCTGGGTCCTCATTTTACCTACCCTGGAAGGATGGAAGGCTGAGTCAATCTTGAGCTGGTGAGATTTGAACCGCTGACCTGCTGAACACAGTCAGCTAAAGTGGCCTGCAGTACTGCACCCTAACTGCTGCGCCACCTCGGCTCATATAAGTCATAGCTATGACTTTGTAGTAGAGCTAGAATTATCTCTTCTCTGCTTCTCTCTACAGAACTGTCGTCACAACACCTATGGGGACCACTGTGAAAGATGTGCCCTTGGGTTCTATGGGATCGTTAGAGGAAATCCCAATGACTGTCAGCCTTGTGCCTGCCCTTTGACCATATCAAGCAACAAGTAAGTAGGGATTACTTATGTCCTTTTGTTTGTATTCTACCTTTCCATGGGAGTTCAAGGGGCTTATATATTAACATTTCTCATTTTACTCCAACAAACTGTGAAGTAAATTGGGCTGAGAGAGTCACTCCAAGATTACTCAGGGAGCTTCAGTGCTTGAGAATGGACATTGTCTGAGTGCAACACCATAGCCATGATATTACATTGACTCTTTTGTCTTTAGTCTAATATTCTCTTGGATTCCTCAGTAAAATCCTGCCTATCATATCACACTGAGGAGTGACTACACTACTTCTGCTAAATTGTCTCACTCAGAAATGGCTTCTAGGCTAGTTAGCTATTTAGGAATCTATAAAGAGTAGCAATGTGATAGTGGATAATGAACATTATAAAAATTATACTCATAAGTGAAGCTACAATACAGCTCTCAAGTTCAATGCAGTCACAAGGGAGCTGTAGGGAAGTTTCTGCTCATATTTTGTGCTGCGATAAAAATATTGCAGTGCCATGCAGATAATTTAGTAATGTATTGAATCCTTATTTAATGTTACATTGGTCTGGGACAACTTGTGAATGGTCATATAAGTTAAAGGCATTATTATCATGCTGAATCAATTTATCTGAGTATGTCATGCTAATGATTCTCTCATCCCATTATTCTTTTGCAATTGCAGCTTAAAATAGTGTTAATTTCATGTTAAGAAGTTGATTTTTTTCTCATCCTATTTATATCTTGTATCAGATTATTTATATAAAAGACACACAATGTTGTTTTCCATCTTTTGCAATACTGAATATTTCACCATTGGATCAGTTCTTCATGCTGCGTGTGCATTTGTGCAGACAACACCGATACTTCATGCACATCTCCTCACACAGATTTAACTACCCAGTGGCATACTAGTCCATATGTTTTTTCAAATGAAAGACAGCTAATTAAGCTCTGTATGCATGTCTGTCTCAAGCTTGCAACACTCTATATTTAGATGAGACACATGCTTTTTAAGCACTAAAAATGCAATAGAAACATTTTTTCTATTTTTTTTGTTTGTTTTCTAATTATTGGTGAATCTATAACAAATTTAAATGAAATTATAACTATGTTTCTGGGTCATCAAACCTTTAGAAGATATTGTAGAAATTGGAGCATATGCAGAAAATAAAAACTAAAATAATTCAGAGGCAGTAGAAAAAAATATATTTGGACTTTTCTTGTTATGACAAATGATAGGTAAAGGGGACAGGATCAAAGTTAACAAATTATGCACAGTATAGTAGAAGTTAATTCTAGATCCCAGGAATATACAATGAAGCTGAGTGATAGCATAATTAAAACTGATAAAAGGAAACACTTTGTGCATGGAGTTCATAAATATATTTTACAGCAGTTCTTGTAATTGTGCAATTAGTTTTATTATACAGATTAGATAAAGTTAAAAAGAATAAAGCTCTCAATGCTGTGTGTATGTGTGTATGATTGAAATATATGTAGAAATTTTAATGAGAAAAACAGTACACATTTTAGGAAAAAAAGAAAATAAAGAAAAATAATGAACAGATAAGAAAAGAAGAAAAAGAAAATAGAAAGAAAAGATTACAAAGAAGTTTCCAATCTTTTTAACAGTAGTAATAAATACATTTTACTCTCTGCCTCCAGATTACATAATATTTCCTTCTTTCTATATTTTACTCTTCATTTTTTTCTTCCGCAAAAAGTCTATAGGGTATTGCCAATCACTAATAAATGAGATATTGTCTTTTCCCTAATTAGACAAATCCATTTTGTCATTTCTACTAATTTTATCTTCTTCACCAATCATTCCTCCATTGTAATTGTTTCAGAATCTTTCCACATTTGTGCATATAATAGTCTCACAGCAGTAACCATATGTACAAATAAATTTCCATGGCTCTTATCTAATTGTTTATCCATTAGTCCCAGCAAGAAAAGTTCTTGTTTCAATCATTTGAATGTTGATCTTGAAAATTCTTTGTATTATGGTATCTATTAGAACGTAAAATCTTCTGCTTCTTTTTCAAATCCACTAGGCACAATAAAATGACCCTTACTGTTGTCTACAATTATAGCATAGATATGAAGTACCTTTATACCAGAGGCCCCCAATCTTTTGGGTACCAGGGACCAGTTCCACAGAGAGAGGTTTTTCTGTGGATTGGAGAATGTGTGGTTTTGCTGCCTGCATCCCGCAGATGGGGCTTTGCTTGTTTGTATGGCCCGGTTGCAGATATAACGCGGCCCTGTACCAGTCCATGGACCGGGGGTTGGGGACCCCTGCTTTATACATTCCGGATAATTTTTCAAGAGTTACATACTCATAGTACGTCCCTTTATTTAAAAATGTTTTAAATTATATTAAAATTACATTTCAATCGTTTCAGCCACATATTTTTCCATTGTTCCATCAGTATATTATATGCAAAATTCTTAACCCATTTTATCATACATTTTTGACATGTTTTTCTTCAGTTTCAAATTTCAGCAAAAGTTTATACATTTTGGCAATTACGTGTTCATTTTTTGTAGATAGTTCAGTTTTGCCTTATGCTGTTCAATTTCAAATGTCTGGTTATCTATCTTAAATTTTTCTGTGGAGTCCTTGGTGCTGTCTGAACTCAGTGGTTTTCTGCAAACATTTCATTACCAAATTAAGTGACATCATCATGCATTGTTGATGTTACCTAGTTTGATAATGAAACGTCTGCAAGAAAATCACAGAGCTCAGAGAGCACCAAGGACCCCATGATTTAAACCTAGACTACAAATATTCTCTTAAATCTTTGTCTTAATTGTGCATATAAAAATCAATGAAAACTAAATCCCTCTCAGTTAATTGCTTTCTTGATTTCATCTTATATTTCCCATGCTGTTCTTCTAACAACTTTAATAATAATAATAAAGTTGGAAGGAACCTTGGATGTCATTGAGTCCAACCCCCTGCTCAGGCAGGAACCTTACACTATTTTGGACAAATGGCTGTCCAGTCTCTTCTTAAAAACTTCCAGTGTTGGAGCATTTACCGCTTCTGGAGGCAAGTTGTTCCATTGGTTAATTGTTCTAACTGTGAGGAAGTTTCTCCTTAGTTCTAAGTTGCTTCTCTCCTTGATCAGTTTTCATCCTGCCTTCAGGCGCCTTGGAGAATTGCTTGACTTCTTCTTCTTTGTGGCAGCCCCTGAGATATTGGAACACTGCTATCATGTCCCCCCTCGTCCTTCTCTTTGTAAATTAGACATACCCAATTCCAGCAACTGTTCTTTATATGTTTTAGCCTCCAGTCCCCTAATCATCTTTGTTGCTCTTCTCTGTAGTCTTTCTAGAGTCTCAGCATCTTTTTTACATCATGGTGACCAAAACTGGATGCAGTATTCCAAGTGTGGCCTTACCAAGGCATTGTAAAGTGGTATTAATACTTCACAAGATGTTGATTCTATCCCTCTGTTAATGCAGCCCAGCACAGTGTTGGCTTTTTTGGCAGCTGCAGCACACTGCTGGCTCATATTTAAGTGATTGTCCACTAGGACTCCGAGATCCCTCACAGTTACTACTATTGAGCAAGGTATCCCTGTGCATTTGGTTTTTCTTGCATAAAAGTAGAACCTTACTTTTTTCACCATTGAAAACTTTCTATAAGTTAATCATCATTCTTTGCTTGCTGTTTCTTTTCTATAAAATACTTCTTGTGCTGAGACCCATAATGGTGTTTTCAGGCACAATCTGGGTTTATTTCTATTTTTCACTTCTTATATAGTAATTTTTAAAAGCTTTATTAAACTTAACCTTTATTGTAATGTGGAAAGTCATGCCATCTGATTCTGATTCTGATTCTGAAAGCCATGCCATCTGATTCTTAATTCTCAGCAGCAAGCACTCTATCATCCAAACCAAACAGCAGACTGCAAAATAATTAAAAAGATTGTTAAAGAGAGAACCAACCTAGAACTAAGGAGAAATTTCCTGATAGTGAGAACAATTAATCAGTGGAACAGCTTACTTCTGGAACTTGTGGGTGCTCCATCACTGGAGGTTTTCAAGAAAAGACTGGGCAGCCATTTGTCTGGAATGGTGTACGGTCTCCTGCTCAAGCGGGGTGCTGGACTAGAAGACATCCAAGATCCCTTCCAATCCTATTTTTCTATGGTCTATATTCCAAATACAATTTCAAATCAGATAATCTTGATCCTCCTTAGTCCTTTGCATCTTGGATGGTTTATATTTAACCCTTGGCACGTCTCAGTGCTTATCAGTGACTAGTAGTCACATACTATCTCCAACGGCAGTAAACCAGTGGTGGGATTCAGCCGGTTCGCACCACTTCGGCAGAACCGGTAGCTATTTTTTTGTTGCCCAGGCCCAGAATGGACTTCTGGAAGCGGTATCCACACAGAGAACCGGTTGTTCACATATTTGAATCCCACCACTGCAGTAAGCCTCTTAAATCCAGTTAACAGGAAATATAACTAGAAGGATTCTGCTGTGCTCATAGTTTGCTTATGAACATATCATAGTATCTGGGTGACCACTAATCAAAATAGAGGACTGAAAGATATATAGTAAGTGATCACTCTGATCTAGCATGGTGATTCTTATTTGTCTGTATTCAGATTTGGTGTGTGGTAGATTGTTATGAAACAGTGAGGTCCAGTATAGTCTGCTTTTCTGCTTTAACTCCCTCCCCAAAGGCCAGGGTCCTAAAAATTAGTGATAGTTTACATCTTTAAAAATCTTAAATGCTTTCCTACTTCTTCATCTGACATTCAGTTTTCAGTGTGTAACATAACATAAAAACAATTCAGTTCTGGAGAATACGACTTGGTTTGTGTGGGTCTATTTTTAGTGAACTGAAAGTGTGATGATAATGAGTTTGTGAGTGATCAATCTCTTTACCTTTTTTGCAACTGCATAATTTTATTACTCATTCAAGCACTATTGATTTAATGCATTATAAGCAAGGTGGAGGAGGATGCTGGCTCTTACCGTAGGAAAACAAATGTTTTTGTATGGGGTTCAAATGCCACAGTGTTCCTTTTGTGTTAATCTGGATCAGCATTTTCTGTACAAATCATTGCAAACATAATGGCACATCTTTCCATCGGTTGAATTTTTCCTGTGTCTCTTGACTCACATATTAGATCACCGCTATTAAAGATTGAGCTTTCTCTCATTATCATACTGCCCTACCATTATCATTTTATCAATATCATAGCAGCCATTATTGTTAGACCCCTTCTAACAAACCACATAGGAATGCTATTATATTTATATGTTATTGTTCAGAAAAGTAGTTTAGCAAGCAGAAAGAATTCTGCCCTTTCAAAGCTCCCTCTAATTTCAAAGATACTCTGATGCATTTTTACATTTTTATATGAATTTTTGATAGGAAAAGCTTGGGATAGGGAAGAATTAAGTTTATCAGCTTTGTTTTTATATGAATCTACTTATTTCAAACTTGCATGTGCTGGATAGGAATACTGGGAGTTTTAATCTCAATACATCTGGTTCAAGTCTACCTCGGGTTCACTAGATTTACACAATAAAATTTAAAGGGCAACATCTACATGTCATCTCTGTATAATAAATAAATATAGTATTACCAATGAAGATAAAATAACCCTGAAGATTGCAGCACATTTTTTGCTCCAGGACTGAACATAGAATATCATCTTCATGCTCTGGCCAAATTAGTTTTCTGCCTGTTCAGAGAGTTACCAATAAATCAGTCCAGCAATTCCAGTTTTTAGAGCAGATTGATAATTATCCCCCTAAATTAATATAAAACTGGCTTAATTTTGTATAATGTCCTGGGAATTAAATGCAGGATTTGCCTGAGTACTCACATTGATATTTCTATGTCCTAAAACATACAGTGGAATGGAAGGGTCGAAATAGAAAAAAAAAAAGAGGGGGAAAGAAAGAACTTGTTTGCTTTGCTTGCAAAGCAGCTGTCCCTATTGCTGCTGTGAGCAGTAGTTGTGCATGAGATCTACTGTATGTGTGATGTAAGTGCATGTGTTGTGTTTTATCCTCGATCTTATAATATTGGATACTGAAAAGATGATTTCTATGAAGACAGAAATGAACTGGCTACCATATCTTTTGCCATCTAGATGATAAAGTAAACTAGAAGGAGAGATGAAATTAACTTCCAATCCTCTTTCCAAATCTAACATGAACTATTTGTAATACTTGGTTCCACTGTCAAAAAGTGAAATAGGTTCCCAAGCTGTGCTAGTATACTGGAGGGCTTTTTTCTTTTCTTTTCTTTTCTTTTCTTTTCCTAACTTCTCACAATCTTGTCTCCAAAAAATAAATTGAATTCCAAATGAAAGTGGTATCCTGAAAATCATGGGGTTTTTTTTGTAATCCCTATGGAAATAATATTTTTATGCTTACAATCCATGTATTTACTTGCTAGGTGACAAAATGTATGTACTGTACATTCTTTTTTTCAAGCCCAAAATAAAATGAGAAAATCAAGAGGCGAGAGCCATAGGAAGCTAGTTAGCAATAGTATCAAAACCTCTGTCCTCAATTTACTATCACGACCTAATTGGTTTTTTTTTTAATTCCAAAGTCTAATAGTAACTATCTGTTGATCTAGAATTTAAGAATTCCTAACAAATATTATACACCAGAAAAGGATATTTCAAAGTATTATCATTCAAGGAGAAATTTTATCTTAGCATTTTAAAGGAAATGCAATATTTTTACCACCACTGATAACAAAATACATACTGAGAATTCATCAGGGGAGAGATCACATTATATTACTGTTAGTTAAGTTTATATTTATATTCCCACTTTCTTCTTAGAGTTTATGCAATATGAATTGTTATATGCATAATATAGTTAGATGAAGAAGTGTTATCAGTATAGAATATACATTTCTTTAGCTAGGTTTCTTGCAATCCTGTTCTTGTAAGTTGATCTGAGAGAAGAGAAAGTCAAAAAATGCAATGCTGAACTGTGACAAGAATATTTCAGCTTCATATGTGTTTATCTACTGAACCCTCTGATTCAAAACTAATAAATGGAGTTGGATATACTCCCTTTCAAATTATGTCTTCCAAGACAATATGCAAATAGATTTAAGATCTCCTAGTTTCATGGCTCTTTAATTTCTAAAATCGTGAACGTTGTTTTTCTAGAAGCATTATAATGCTTCCGCATGATGCAGGTTATGTGACATCTGCATATATGTAAGTTATTTTAGAAATAAAACAATTTAAATGATGGCATGACTTAGAGGAGCAGAGGTTCAAAATCTGTGTGAAGCTCTTCTTTGAAGCTAATATGTTTTCAGTAAAGGAAAGAGTTAACTGTGTTATTTTGTTTATACACAAGTTTCAGTCCCTCGTGTATTATTGAAGGAGTTAATGATTACCGATGTACAGCTTGCCCACCTGGATATGAAGGACAGTACTGTGAAAGGTAAGGTGAGATATTTAAAAGAATCAAAATGAAATTGTTACAAAACAGGCCAGTTCTAGAATCAACAGATGTGCAAATAAGGATATCTCCAGTATGTGTTAGTCTAATTAAAAGCCATTCCACAAACTTTTATCCATTAGCAATTATAATGAAAGGAATATGTTTTTAATCTCATAATTGATGCTGTAACTCTAAAGTGATAAATTATGTGCAAGATATTAGCAGTCATTTTATGATCTAATGAGCCATTTGATTTCTAGGATGTAATACATATTTCAATGGGCAGAGCTATTTGATTATGTGAAGACTTCATGGCATTTCTCTGATACTTCCTTCATAACTTTCTATTAAATAATAGAAAGCACTCACTTTATGCTCCATAACTAAACAATGCAAAAGCCAACATGTCCACTTTGCCTCCATAAGCATATTGTTTGTAAAGCACAATTTCTCAATAGTGTGAACAGTAAAATTAAATGTTTAATGTATTGTAAATAAAAAAGACAATAGCAATAGAAGAAAATTCATAGAAGAGAAACAATAATTGTCCTTGGAGAGGAAAAAAGTTGAAAATTATAATAAATTGATTAAAAAAATACTTGTATAGAAATTTCAAGAAGAAAATTAAGCAAATGCATATTAAGAATCTACAGAATGTGAAAAACCTAGTTGTAAAATGCATAGAACATAAGCTATGGAATAGTTGGTGCATATACTAGATTGGCTTTTATCATGTGCTGCTGAATAGGGAGTAAAAATACTCCTCTGGTCAGAATGCATAATGTTTTATGTGTTGTAAATTGCATGTACATGAATTGTGATGCAATTATTCTTCAGGATAACGTAGAAAACTGCATTGATTTTAACTTACATTTCTATATTCAAAGAACTCTTTTGTTTAAAACTGTGTTCAATGCAAACGTGTAAAATTGTGAATAACAGAATTAATCATGAGTATATCTTGACTCATTCATAGAAAGCCTTTTGCACTGGAATTCTAAAGTTGCTTTTTACCACATTTTTCAATCTCTAGATGTTCTCCTGGATACACTGGGAATCCCAAAATTCCTGGTGGATCTTGTCAGCTATGTGAGTGTCATCCATATGGTTCACTGCCTGTTCCTTGTGATCCTCTCTCTGGACGATGTGTGTGCAAGCCTGGATCTACTGGCTGGAAGTGTGCAGGATGTGAACCCTGGCATGCTCGTGAAGGAATAGCATGTGTTTGTATGTACATTAATATACATTAACAGTAGGTCTGGAAATTTGGTAGCTTGATTTATTCTTCAAGTGTAAAAATCTTTCTGAGATAAGTTATAACAGTGCCGTAGGCTTCTAATATGGTTTGAACATATACAGTATGAGCTTTGTTACAGTAAATTCAGCTGGTCTTCTTAGTTCAATGGTTTCCTAAGTCACTGATAATCTAAGAAGATTCAATAAATGATGTAGGTGTCAAAAATAACAATAAAAATGGCATTTTTAATTGTTAAAGTCTCACAAAAACATCAAAGCTTAGAAAGCGTTGTGCAAGATTTCAAATGGAAAATTGAGATTTGGTAAATTTGAAAAATTTTGGCAGTTTTAATTTTATTTAACATTAAACAAACCATATTCCCTTTTCAGTTTTTCCCATCCTGTTCTCAAATTCTTTGACAGATAATTTGCACTATTTGATTTTTATGTGCACTCCTTAACACTGAACAAATGACTAGCTGTGTTTTATTGTTCTGGGGTGGGGGGAAGATTGTATTTACTTAAAGTCAAAAAAATATTTCTTCCCAAAGAAAGTTCTTCCCAATTTTCTTCTCAAAGTTAGTTTTAGATAGTCTTAATCCAATTCAGCAATGAAACTGTTAATAGTCTTTTTTTTACTTCTTATACATTGCTTTTCTTTTAATATTGCATAAGTTCTTGTAGCTACTGTATGCAATGATACACTGTTCCTGCTTTTTGTCCTTAGCTCATTATTAAATTCTTGTTTAATTTCTACACTTGAACCTATCAAAATGAAATTAAAATATATTGGATGGGCAAGAAAATGATCAGTCATGTGAATTTAATTCCCTTTTTTGACATATAAAATATTCTTAATAAGCTGACATGCTTCCCAATTAAGCAAATATTTGCTTGAAATAATAGCTGGAAAAACTTAATCATAACTAGAGAGCAAACTCCTTGTGGAAAAGGTAAACCATATTTTAACCTCAAGGCTGCTGTAATGGTGGATAAAATATGCATTTTTAATTGTTAAAGTCTCACAAAAACATCAAAGCTTAGAAAGCGTTGTGCAAGATTTCAAATGGAAAATTGAGATTTGGTAAATTTGAAAAATTTTGGCAGTTTTAATTTTATTTAACATTAAACAAACCATATTCCCTTTTCACTCATATCATAATATGGAATAATTTTAACTGGTTTCAATTAAAAGTTAAATATAACAATTTTTAAAGCAATAAAAAGCAGTTAAGGTTCTGGTGAAAAGTAGGCTCTTTAGAGCTCCAGTTTAAAATTCCAGAATATTTTTCTCAACAAAACAGGATTATGGTAGGGTGGATTCAGTCATAAAAATATTACAGATCGGAATTAGGCAAATTTTGGAGTACAGATGGTTCTCAACTTATGATCACATTTCTGTTGCTAAGCAAGGCAGTTGTTAAGTGAATCAGGCCCCATTTTATGACCTTTTTGGCGGTGACTGTTAAGCAAATCACCACAGTTATTACTTGAACCTGGCTTCTCCCATTGACTTTGCTCGTTGAAAACCAGCTGGGAAAGCCACAGATAGTGATCACATGACCCCAGGATGCTGCAACCATCATAAATATGTGCCAGTTGCCAAGTGCCCAAATTTTGATCCCGTGAACATGGGGATGCTACAATGATCATAACTGTGAAGAACAGTTCTAATTCACTTTTTTTAGTGCCATCGTAAATGGTCGCTGAACAAATGGTTTTAAGTCAAGGACTACCTCTATCAAGCATGCCTACTATTAACACTAAAAGAGCAACTTTGAAAATCCTGATTTCCAGCATTCTGTGTGTGTGTGTGAGAGAGAAAATATTGCATGCATTATTAAAAGTACGTAAACAAAACTGTAAATTGTAATACCAGTAATCAATTGCCAAAGAAGGCAGAAATTTATTTTGCTAAGGCAGCTGATCAAGGCTTCTATTCTTTGCCATCCTTACATTCCACCTGCTTCACAGGTGAACATTTGTCTGAAGTCATATATATTGATTATATAGACAAGCTTGCAACTTTTTAAATAGAAAAATGATTGTTAACTTTCTGCTGCATTTAAACTCGTGGTGTTATATTAGCTTCTGTAAAATAGATGCATACATGGTATTTTAAGATTAGATAGATAGATAGATAGATAGATAGATAGATAGATAGATAGATAGATAGATAGATAGCCAGGCAGGCAGGCAGGCAGGCAGGCAGGCAATCTAACCTATCAACAATATATCCAAGCCTACCAAAAGAAACAGTTATGATACTGCCCAGCTCTCTAATGCACCAGTCGTCTCCATACTGCAAGCATGCTTTAGCTCAGGGGTGTCAAACTCGCCATGTCACGTGACATATCGTGACCTTTTTTCCCCTTCACAGAGCTGGAGTGGGTGTGGCTTCCACATGATGCATCCGGCCCGTGGGCCGGCAGTTTGACACCCCTGCTTTAGCTCAAGTAAATTCACCTTTAAAGTAGGCTTGAACTGTTCTTTGTTTTAAGAACAACATGTGTTCCAACCATAAAGGCTGGAAGGGGACAACTCTTGTATTGCTTTTGAATCCTTCTGCAAGACCTCAAAACCTTCTTCAAAGCAAACTTTGTAGAATTTGAGGAAGAGAAAAGGGGTCTCAAGCAATCATCTGCTTAGAAAATACTTAATTTCATCCAGTGTGCCTCCAATTAATGCCTTACTGAAATGCTGCATGTTTTTTGCTTTTCTCCATGAATAACTGTAATCATCTTGGTTATAATGCTGTATTTGTTAGCAGTGAACACTAATTCTTACTGACAGTTTTATAGACTAAACTCGGGTGATATTTAGTCATGTATAAATTATATAATTATCATTTTGTAATATTTCCATTGCTCCAGTTTAATCCAGTCTTTGAGTAACTGCACCTTGTCTCTTTTATTAAAGAAGAGACAATAATGTGTCTCCTCTTTTCAACTCAATTTTCAACCTAGAGTTATTAATTCATGCTAATGTTCATAGACCACATAACAAGAAACAGTTATTTGTTAATTTAGAGTATTTTCATGTCTTTATAAGCAATTCGGGATTTTTATCATGCTGAATTAAGTTGATTTTCATTTGTATCCCTTTTTATAGTATTTATTGTCTACTGCCTTGAGCTTAAATAGAAAAAAAAAGTAAAACCAGGACATCTCATAGTGTGTTACTGTTTGCTGATTTAATACAACAAATTATTCCCTTTTCTCCCCAAAATCTAAGCCTTTCTGTTATTTATTTCATTAATAGTTCCTGAACATCTACCTAACAAAACTGCATCATTCCTTGACCAGCAAGTAGATGTTATGTAAAATTCAAGCTTGGTGTAAATCTTTATATTAGACATGGAAACATAGTTTCTCTTTGAGTGATACAGGGAACATAAGAACACTTAGATCACTAACAGATTTTTGGGATATGTATATATAAAGTAGAAAGTATTGCCTTCTTGCTTAAGCAATCATAGTGTATTTCAGTTCAAGGAAACAAATCACTGGATGGAGAGAGTGGAGTGCAAGGCAAAAAGAAGGAAAAGAAATAACTGAAAAAATAACTTCTCAGTGCCTCCTTGTACAATCCCCAATTGCCTTCTTGTTTCATTAAATCAATTTGCCTCTCCTCTAGTGATTTGCTTTGCTGTTTTATCTAGTTCTGCAGTTGAAAGGTACCGTTGTAGCTGACCGAAACAGCACATACCTGTTTTTAAAATAAGAAAAATCTGTCCTAAATTTAATTGGATATAAAACAGCACAAGAGGGAATAAAAGTTCATCAAATGTTGACTTGTAGAAATACATCTCTAACTGGGTAAGGAACTTGTGCCTGCAAATGTACACAAGCCATATATGCAAGCAAACAGTTGCTTAGGATATAATGGTTTATGTCAAGATGCTTTTAGATGTCATTCTAGAAAGAGAACATGCAGCTCTTTAACTTCCATCAATGCAAACCAAAGAAACATGACCAGGGAGGATCAAAACAACAGTCCAACAATTGGAAGTTTTTGTTGTTAGTTGCGAAGTCGTGTCCGACCCATTGCGACCCCATGGACAACGTTCCTCCAGGCCTTCCTGTCCTCTACCATCTTCTGGAGTCCATTTAAGCTCACGCCTACTGCTTCAGTGACTCCATCCAGCCACCTCATTCTCTGTCGTCCGATTCTTCTATTGCCCTCAATCTTTCCCAGCATTAGGCCCTTCTCCAGTGAGTCCTTCCTTCTCATTAGGTGGCCGAAGTAATTGGAAGTTGCACCATTGTAATTTGTGGTAAGGCAAACAATATAGCCTAGGGAATAATGACAATGACTATAATCTATTCATCCATTATTTTTTAGATAAAGTTATTTTTTTTCCCTCTACATTAAGAAATGTAGAATTACTGATCTACCACTATGCTCAGTATTCATTTGACATTGCATGTTTAATATACGTAGTCTTCAACTTATAACCTTAACGAAGCTTGCCCATTATGGCCATAGGTCATGATGGCTATAAAGTGGGTTATCATGTGACTAACTCAATTTTATGATCTTTTCTGCAAAAGTCATTAAGTGAACGCCGTGGTTAAGTGAACCCATTTTTCACCATGGGACATTTTTGCAGAAAACCAGAAGTAAATGTCAGTTTTCAGCAAAAATGTCATAAATCATGATTACATAACTATGGAATGCTGTATACAACCACAGTTGTGCACTGGTTGCCAAGCACCTGAAATGCTGTCATGTGACCATAGGAGGGCTGCCAGAACTTTGGACTAAAGTAGTAAATACCTTTTGGGGAGTCCATCGTAACCTCAAACATATGAACAGTCATAAGTTAAGGACTACCTGTATTTTCTTTCTGACCCAGTGGCCTGGTTCAGAGGATGATTAAATAAGATCATTACATCACTGCTATTCGGCAATAAATCAACCCCTGTGTTAGTTGATTATTAAAACTCTCTTTTCTTTTACCTGCTGCCTTTCCTAATAGAACAGGGACAACTGGGATTGACAATGAGGAGATTGGCTGGCAGATGGGTGGAGAATATTGCAAGTGAACCATGGGGAACATCCTTTAGTGTCAAATTAAAGCTCTTTATTGAATAGGTTGGGTGCAAAGTAAGAATAGCCTTAAGTTATTAACACACTCTGGTAAATTGCAGACAAGGTCAAGGCTTTATGCAATCATCTATAAATATGAAAGGGAAGAGAGGGAAGAATATCTAGAAAAAGACTTCTTCGATGATCATGTATCTTTTCTTTGGTTTTTAAAAGGTTATCCTTTCATTTTAATGGACAAGTCTTAGCACATGAGGGTGAGGAATTGGAACTAACCCAAGCACTGAATCATAGACCATTCATATTTCATTCAACATTATTTATTTATTTGTATTTATTTATTAAATATCTGCACTGCCCAACTCATCTAAGTGATATGTGCAAAGCAAAGCAAATATAATTTCCTGTTTAACCATTAGAATAATAATCTTTCTGTATAGAATGTGATTCCTACTTGGAAAAATCATACACATATGCAGATGGTTAACTGTTTACAATAGCTTTAAAAAATTGAAATGCAGTTATTCATTGTATATCCAAATATTGTCAAAGTAGTTCAGTAGCGTTGCCCATTAAAAACTAAGTGGATCAATAAATAGCCATCTTTCACCACAAAAAACAAAGAGATGCTAATTAATTTAAATCAATCATAAACAAAGATTTAAACTAGGAGCTTATTGGCTTGTTTCTTGCAATCTTTACATACTAGCCTGGCTCAGAAACCAGACTTTATAATATGGTTTATTTAGCTTTAATTTAGCATATCATTAAATTTTAACCACCTGAGGGTTTAGGGTTGGATTTTAGTCCTCTCCAGACCAAAAGGATCTGGTGATGTTAGAATGGTGGTTTAGATTTTTGTGAATGCTTATCAATAAAAAAAAGTGCAATCACTCTGCCTTGCTTACAGAATTTTGAGGATTATCATCTTTTGTATTTTCCTCCTTTGTTTTTTCTTACTCCTAAAATATTGCTAAGCTGAGAAAGGTGGAAACACATTGCAATTTTAGTAAGAAGATCTTTCCATCTGGAAATGCATATTGGAATATGCATAAATGCACTATTCACCCACTACATATTCCCTAAATCATTCTGTCCCTTGTTCTATACATCAAGTTTCTGCGCACTTCTGCATAATTCCCAGCCTTGAGTGTCAAATATTACTAATATATTTCCTTAAAATGCTCTTTTTTGGCTGCCATTATTTCAATTGCTTTACCACTATTTCTCCCATTACTCTCTAATTTAAGCTATTAATACTGATATATAATTGAAGTGGGCCTTAAGTATCTATTAAATTAATTTGTTTAAATCTTTTCTTGCCCTTTGCTCTTCTGTTACTCCTCCCCACCTAAAGTAAACAAGATTTTAAGCTGCTCTAGGCTGTGCAATGTGATTTGTATTTGTTATTCTAAAAATTATATATTGAGCTCTTATCTAAAGAGTATTTTATGTCACACTGGCCTTCTCACTAGATCTGGACAATTTTATATCCATTTATCCAATCTACTAGAGCCATCTTTGTTTCTCTGTCTTTTATTGCTCCATGAATTTTTAGGAACCAGTTACTGAACGTTAGTGGCCTTATATTTTTGAGAATTTTATGTATACTATAAAATGTTTCTCAGTTGAAATAAGAAGTATGTGCCTCAGATGTGGAACAGGAATAAATATTTTTTATTGTCTTCTTTCACAGCTTGTGATGATGAGTGCACTGGTGTCCTTCTCCGTGACTTGGATCAGTTAAATCAGATGACTCTAAGTGTTAATCTTAGTGGACCACTTTATCCACCATATAGAATGCTTTATTCCTTTGAAAACACAACCCAAGAATTAAAGGTATAATCAAGTCCATCAACGTGATCTGGATCTCACATAGTAGCATTAATCAATATATCTTATTGTGCTTAGATTTTTTTTAAAAACATGCATTAATGGTTTAATTGCTTTAACTATTATCATAATGAACTGATTCTTCAATTCTTCTGATTGAAGAAAAGAACTGTTAATATAAAGAAATCATAGAGGTATTATAAAACAACTTGTCAAGTGCCAAGGAAATCAGGAGATTTGGGCAGTTCTAATTAGTATAAAGATTTATTGCAAGCTTTCTATAAGAATCTGAGCTACTAACGGTCAAGAGAAATTAGCAGGAGTTAAGAAGGGCATTCAAAGTGGGCTGGACTTAGATCTCTTGTGAGTATGCAGGGACTCATGACTGATTATGTGTTTGACACCCTCTCTTAGGCTCAGCCTGGCCATCTCCTAAATAACCTTTCTAACATGTAATATATTTAAGTGGGCACTTTACATATTTAATAATGGTACTTTTTCCCATATGCATGTATGCTTTATCTTCTACATAAAGATATTCAGATAAATTATTTTCATATACATCATTACAGTAATTGAGATTAAGATGGAGCTTCATTCACCAGGATGGAAAGCATGAATTTATAGTATATACTAGTAGTATTACACCCACAAAGTAAATTTTCTTTTTTTTTTTTTTGCTTCAGCATTTATTGTCACCTCAGCAAGCACCAGAAAGACTTCTTAATTTGGCACAGAAGAATTTAGATACTCTTGTGATAGAAATGGATGAACTGCTGACAAGGGTAAGTTTGGCAAGCAAATGGCAAATAAATGAATTCTGAATTCATTTAAAATAATGGGATCTCATGACTTTATCTCAGCTTACTGGAGCCACATGACTGCCAGACTGCCAGGATTCCATCTGTATTTTCTTTGCAATGTCTATATACAAAAACATATAGGACATTGATAATATAATTTCTAATGGATTGATTGATTAATTCATTACCAGCATTTTTGTGACACCTACTTGAGAAACCCTAGGCTACTCCCAGGATTTAATTTAACAAAGATTTTTGGTAGCATTGAAAGCTGTTCTACATATCAGAAGAAAACAATTATAAAATGTTAAAACAATGATGAATTAACCAACACCATGTCTATCTACTAATCCACCCATTCAAACCATGATAAAGCAAAATGTGGAATCAATTTCAAAAGGGAGAGAATATTCTCAGCTAATTAGTGTTCTGCTCCAGATGACCAATACAAAAGTGAAAAAAAAAAAAATTGAACAGGACCCCATTGCAGCAGTAAAAGTCCCCATCCACATTTCCAAAATATATTCTGTACATTTGTCTTGTTTGCAAGACAAAAATAAAAATGTAACTGAACAATAGATCAAAGGAATAGATGCAAAAACACCAACTCATCATCCTCTGTTTTTAAAAGCCGATAGTTTTCAATGGTTGCAAAAAGGAATAAGGCTATTTGGCAACTGTCTGATTCAAAACTCACTCTATTCCAAGCACACTTCTCACAGTTTTATTTGTTTATTGAGATGAAATATCTATAGATACAAGTATCTCAGCAAGTGAACTGTTTTCAATAGAACCAGCATATCTCTTGAGTACATTAGGGTATATTCTATGATTTATATTTTTGCCAGCCTATCTTTGAAGAAAGGTCTGTGGTCTCTTCTCTGATAGTGAAGTTTCCAGCTGGTTGTTTACAGCCTGGTTTCCTGAATTCTTTCTGTGTGGGCAAGCAACTTTGACAAAATAAATTACAATGCAGCTTCTTTTCCAGTGAAACGCATTTCCCATTTGCTGTACCCATGTTTGTAGGTTGCTTCAGTGGCAGGTGAGAACATTCAAACCAATGACTACAGCCTGCAGGCATGTAAAGAATAGCCAAAATTGTCGATGGGGAAGGTTGAAGAGAAATAAATTGTCTTAGAGCAACTAAAAAAACCTCTTCATTTCCCAGTTCTCCACAAAAAGAAAAGGAAAAATTACTAGCACATAAACTCATTGCTATGCCATCCAAATGCAGTTTGGGGCAGAGAAGAGCCCTAAGCAACAATTGGGCAGTTTCTTGCCAAAGAGAAGGCACAAAAGACAGATTCTTATCAATTTCATTTCAGTTTTTCACCAGCTAAATCAGCTTATCTCAATATTTGCTGTGCTTTAAAGCAAGCGATATGAATTTGTCTATTTAAAAAAAATGAGTTGTTAAAGGAATATTTGTGAATTTATTGAAACAGTCTTCCCTCATCAAGAGGGAAGAATGTTATGTCAGCTGAAACCCAAGAGATGGGCAATAGGGTTTGTCTTAAGTTCCCACCAAGAAGCTGGAAATCCCAGCTAGCTGAGCTGGAAAAATTAACCTGTACAATGGCTGAATACTGACAGATGTGGAACCAGATAGCTCCAAAATAGATTTTGTGGAACGTCCCAGGGCTAAAATGCTCCTGGCTCTGGTATTCCTGGCATAATCAAAAAAGAAAATACTCAAAGCGTATTTCCTTCCTAGAATATTTACTATGGAATGAAACCCCTAGGACTATGCATCTCTTTCAAAAGATGTGCTTTGGAATGCAGAGGACCAGTTTTCAAATAATTAAAGCAGCTGGAGTTTTTGCATGGCTGCTTTAGAAGTTGCATTGAATGGGGATAGGGCCAGGATTGGGGAGATGATAGGCTACTGTGCCAGGTACACCGTGTTTGTTTTTTTTAATTAATAGGGGTTTTTTTCCTTGAGTCCTCCTCTTATTTATATCTCTGTGGACAAAAATTCTGTCAATTTAAATTAAAATAAACAATGGCAATATGTCATATAAACTCTTCTTTATTTTCTCTTACATGTGTTTTTAATTATAAAGTTCTAAAATGAAACATAGAAAAGGGGCATACTTTTAGCATGTTTTACGTTTTTAAAATTTGTAATACCATTTATTTAGAAAGGAAGTGCAAAGAAATAATAAATTTTAATTTGTAACCCAACAGAGGCACACAGCAATAGAAAAAGAAAATCCTGCCTCAAAGTCAAATCTCAGTTGTGATTTAGATCCTATGAAGCAAACCTCATTTAGAAAGGAGGGGTGAAAAGTCTGTTATTAAAACCTTTGTTTTCTGAAAGTAAAATCCTCCTGAGATGACACCTCTCCTGTTGGTTATTCTTTTCATTAGTAAAAACTGCAAACTACAAAAACTGGAATTTTCATTAGTTATCAGGTAGAAGATTATATCCATAGAAAGTCTGCCACCTAGTGATCAAAAAAAAAAAAAAAGAAAAACCGAAGAACTGACTCCACATTGGTGAAATTTGGATGTTTGCTGGACAAACTCAAAATCCATATTGGGAAATATGTTAATTCTGTGCATTCAAAAATGTCCAAGTATTGAAAAATATCTCTAATCTCTTCATTAGGGAGCATGTTAGAAAACTCATAGAATAGAATAATAGATTAAGGGAAGAAAAAAATGCTATTAAGTTGACAAAATCAGTATGGTCAGTGTCTAAAGATGAAGTATAGGTCAGCTGCCCATTTCCTTGGCTAAAGAAAACTAAGTAGATGAAAAAAATAATGATGATGATAAATGATACTCAAGACAAAAATAAAAACCAACTTTGATAGAATGGATGTTTGGAAAATAAAATGTTAGTTCTTCCTTCGATATACTTTCTCCCTATATAGTTACATTTGTTTGGAAGAGACAGAAAATACTAGAACTATACCATTTGAAAATTTTAATAGCAAAAATCCACCCAGTCACTAGAAAAGAGATAAGTGTTTTTGGTCTTTCTTTGTTACTGCTTAATGGTCAGAAATTTTTTGTCCAGATGTGCTAACATATATTGGGTGTCATTTGTGTTTCCAAAAACAACCAATATTATTGTTATATTGTTTTTATTTTTTGGTTTAAATTTCACTGTAGTAAAAAAAATCCTTAAAACTATTTTAATAATTGATTTGGGTTGGTAAATTTATAATGTAACTAAATTATAAATTACCAATCTGTGGCTATATTTGCTTATAATGGATTCCACACACCAGAAATTAGGTCCATAAAATATAGTCCGCAAAGCACTTGAAAGTTGTTCAAAATATATCACTGTACTTATATATTATATTAAGGCAAAAGGTGTTCAGTTTGGATCTAATGTGTTATGTGAAGCCAGCAGTAAAAGGTTTATTCAATAAATAAAGGTCCACATTAATAATGTGAAGCCAACCAATGACGTTTCCTAGTGTACTGCCCCTCTCACTGACACATATACTGCGTGACTGTAGTTTAGTGGGTTTACTAATATTCCCCAGCCCAGAACTGTCCCAACCAAGTCCAGCCACGAGCAGACCAAGTTTAGTCAACAGAAGCAATGGTCCAATAGTCCACAAAGCACTTGAAAGTTGTTCAAACAAACTAACTCCACCAGACAACTTAAATACATCAGGCAAACTTAAATCCACACAGAAGAGAATTCACAGGGCAAGAAAAGTTCAGAGTCTCCAAAGCACAATTCCAAACATGGTGTCAATCCAGAGTGAAGCAGGAATCATGACGATCAAACACACAGCTAGAAAACAAACACATTCCCAGCAACTCCTCCATCTGTCTGCTGTGAAAATAGTCAGCTTCTGGTGCAGCCCATCTTGAGTAGTCTGATTGACCTTTTCTGCTCCTGCCTTTTCTCTGCACTAAGTGTTCTCGGATGAGATGCAGAAAGCAATTCCTTCTCCTCTTCCCTAGCTGTCTGCCACTGCAAACTTTCCCCAGCTGAAGCCTCTGCCAAATCCCTTCCAGGTCCCCGTTCAGAGCCATCAATCAACTCACTTCCTGACATGCTAGGAATTGGCTCATCCTCCCCTGAGCTGACAACTGAGGAGGTGTCTGGGAAATCATTCAAGAGAGACATCACACCTAGATCTGTATTGTATTGGCTAGTGGAAAGGAGAACCTTACCAATTTCCTTCTTCCCAGAGTTCTGTCTGATCATGTAGAAAAGTTTTAAGCTTCCCCCCCCCCTCATTTGGCAAGATATTACAAAGGCCAACGGGTCTCTAGGCATATAAAATAATATATTTCACTTTGCAGCTTCTCATGTTAATGTTCCCTTTACTATTGTAAACCAACATTCACTGAGAGTTCAGAATCTCAGTGATATGGTATAATTTTAATATCATTTTATTTCCATATTTTCAATTGGTTGGCTATCAATATATGAACAATAGAAAAACAATATCTCTCAGACCATTCAGACAAATGGAGTATCTCCTTGTCATGTTCATTAATTACACTTTTCTTCAATCTGTTTTGTACTTATATTCTTTCCCATACACCTGACAAATTAGACCCACTGGATATTGAGGTCTTAACTTCCAGGATATTGCAGATTTGGCATATCTGAGATTTATTTACTTCTCCAGCAACAAGAGAGAACGGGGTAAACGCGAATTCCTATTTTTGATTTGTCCCACAAAGGTTGTATTTAGAATTGTGATTTATATTCCAAAGTAGGAGGGTTTTATGGTTGATAAATTACACGGTAGGTATATGTCAGGTGCAAAAAGTCAGGAACCAGGATAGAGTTCAAAAGTAGTGCAAGTTTATTTCACGTTACCTATATCCAAGAATCTGAACTACTAATGGTCAAGGCAAATTGGCGCCAGATAAGAGTCAATGGACTTCAAGGGGGGATGGACTTAGGTATTTTTTAGGGTCATAGGGGATCCAGACTGATAATGTGTTTGATCCCACCCCCAAGTTCAGCCTGGTCATCTACACAGTATAGTCAAATAAACAAATGATGAATTATTCATTCATAATTCATATTTTTATTCATAATTGTTCTGAAGTGCTACATAAGTGTTCTTAAGCAAGTGACATGTAACACTAAAATCAGTAGGACTGAAGTGCCTAATAAAATCCTAAGAGATTCATTATTTCAATTGGGACACCAATATTTCCATCAGAGTCTTACATATTTCAGGGTGTGAACAAAACCATTTTTTTTTGTCTAGAATTCCTTTGTGTCCTATTCTTTCCAATGTGTTCTCCAAGAAATGAAAAATTGAGCCTCTGGTGGCCCCTTTAATGATAGAAGTGGTTATAAAATGTAATTGTGTACTTGGGAAGAGTATGTGTCACTTCCAGTATATCTGATCAATAATTCATTGATCTCTTTTTGCTTGAGGAAAGGTTTCCAAGTAGATTCAGACAGATGGAGTATCTCCTTGTCATGTTCATTAATTACACTTTTCTTTAATCTGTATTGCCAGGCGACCAAGGTGACAGCAGATGGGGAACAAACTGGACAGGATGCTAAGACAACTAATGAGAGAGCGAAGTCGCTTGGACAGCTCATCAAAGTCACCCTCCAGGCTGCAGAAGGTAAGAAAGGGAAAATGCCAATGGTTTCTTAAGGAAAGGAAAGCAGCACATTTTAAGAATAATTATATAAGACACTGAGAGGATCGGTTGATTAAAATACTGGACTTTTGTGTTAAACCACAGAACCTATCGTCAAATAATTGCAGGCTTCCTGAAATCTAAGGAGAGTAGTTTGTTGGTAAATTGGCAATTACGACCACAGAACAGCAGAAATTAAATGTTCTCCTTCAGGAACATTTTTAGTCTAGAAGAATAGCTATTATGATTAAATAACTAATGGGTAACTACTGCTTTGCTGTTGTTTATTTTCAGCTTAGTAAAAATTTCATGTAAGAGAAGAAGAAAAAAAAAGCACCTTATAGTTTTAGTACTCTACAAGGTGCATTAAGCGTACATTTTTAATTTCTCAAAATGGCTTTAAAAATACATTATTTCTTGCTGGAAATGAACATCTGCTTGCATAAGGATAGATAGATCAACACTCCAGAAGATTGGCTTAAGATATAGAAGGAGCTTGACAGACTTGAACATTGGGCACTATCTAACAAAATGAAATTCAATGGTGAAAAAAGTAAGGTTCTACATTTAGGCAAGAAAAACCAAATACACAGGTATAGTATCAGTGGTACCTTGCTCAATAATAGCAACTGTGAGAGGGATCTTGGAGTCCTAATGGACAATCATTCAAATATGAGCCAGCAGTGTGCTCCAGCTGCCAAAAAAGCCAACACAGTGCTAGGCTGCATTAACAGAAGGATAGAATCAAGATCACATGAAATGTTAATGCCACTTTACAATGCCTTGGTAAGGCCACACTTGGAATACTGCATCCAGTTTTGGTCACCATGGTGTAAAAAAGATGTTGAGACTCTAGAAAGAGAACAGAGAAGAGCAACAAAGATGATTAGGGGACTGGAGGCTAAAATATATAAAGAACGGTTGCTGGAATTTGATATGTCTAATTTAATGAAGAGAAAGACTAGGGGTGATATGATAGCAGTGTTCCAATATCTCAGGGGCTGCCACATAAAAGAAGGAGTCCAGTTATTCTCCAAAGCACCTGAAGGCAGGACACAAAGCAACAGATGGAAACTAACCAAAGAGAGAAGCAACCTAGAATTAAGGAGAAATTTCCTGACAGTTAGAACAATTAATCAGTAGAACAACCTGCCTCCAGAAGCTGTGAATGTTCCAACACTGGAAGTTTTTAAGAAGAGACTGGACAGCCATTTGTCTGAAATGGTACAGGATTTCCTGCCCAAGCAGGGGGTTGGGCTAGATGACTTTCAAGATCCCTTCCATCATCATCATCATCATTAAGATATACATGCATATTGAGACTCAGCAAATTATATCCCTAAAAGGAATTTGATTCTGTAAATTTCAGAATGCAATTGGGAATAGTAATTAGAAGGTATTAAGCAATATTTAGGGATTATAAAACATACTAAATAAAAAAGATCAGACAGATATATATTTTTATTGAAAACTTGATATCATTCTTAGAACTGAGTTGTGATTCTTTTCCAGCAATGCTGAATAAAATACCATGCACACATTATGTAACATTGTCTGAAATGGTATAGAGCGGGGCTTTTCAACCAGTGGTAAGCATACCACCAGTGGTACTTTGGCATCTGTCTGGTGGTACATGACCATCTTGGGCAAGTGTAGCTGGGGAAGGGAATGAGCTGAAGTGGTGGCAGTGCCGCACAAGCCTAAGGGAGAGAGAGCTGGAGCTGCAGGGCTGTCGGCGTTGGGCAGAAGCCCCAGGATCTATGCACATGGCTACAAGCTGATTGGCACTTCTGTAGAGCTGTTGGGGCTCAGCAGAAGCCCCAGGATCAGTGCCAGGTCCCAGCTGATTGGCGCTTCCAGAAGCAGTGCATAGTTGGAGGTGCACTGAAGGGAAAAGGAGGAAGGGGAGATAGAGGAGAGGATATAAAAAGAGGAAATTTTGGCAGGAAAGGGAGAGGGAAAAAAGACAACAGATTAAAGAGAAAGGGATGAAGAAAGAGAGACGGAGAAGCACAGCCTTGAGGAATCAGTTGGAAGTCCACTGAAGAGAAAAAGTGGGGGGAAGGAGAGGATATATAAAAAGACGCAGAAGAGGGAAAAAAAGACAACAGGGATGGAGAAGAAACTGGAAGGAGAGCCCAGCAGGCAGGGAGGAAAAAGAGAGAGAAGAGAGAGAGAGGAAGAAGGGCCAACCAGCCAGCTGATCAGCAAGATAGTAGTGAATATTAATAAATATGGATAAATTCACCATACATTTGTCAGTGCAAAGGGAAAGTGATTCAGCAAAGGAACCGCCACTGAAGAAATTAAAACTGGTATTTTTTTTTCTTTTTTATGGTTTATAACTTTTTATTAGATTATAGAATAAAATACAAAAATACAAAAGCAAATAGTAGGACACAGTGGGAGGAAAAAGGGGGGAAATGTGAGGGGGAGAAGGGAAAAAGAAAAGAAAAGGCATTGACTTCCGACTTCCTCTGTGGCAGTAGAATGAAGCATTAACATCGAACCTCAATGTTTTACTTTTCCACAAAGGTATAAACTAGTCATTTCTATAACAACAAATGAATCTAATCAGTAAAACCCCAAATTCCCCTCCTTTTTTTAGTCATCAAGTTTTTGACACCTTGCTAAGCCCTGGTGGTACTCAAATATTATCATGTCCTAAAAATGGTACAATCTGAAAAGGTTGAAAAGCCCTGGTATAGAGTCTCCTGCTTGAGCAGGGGGTTGGACTAGAACAGGCATGTCAAACTCGCGACGTCACATGATGTTGCGTAAAGTATCGGGCCGGTTTTGCCATTACCGGCAATGGGGTGAGCACGGCTTCCACATGATGCGTCTGGCCCGCGGGCCGACAGTTTGACACCCCTGGACTAGAAGGCTTCCAAGATCTCTTCCAGCTCTATTCTGATTGACTTGGCTTATATAAATAGGTTATGGTCCAATATATGAAACATGATGTCCAATCCTGCTGTCTCTTTATTTATTATTGGATTAATGGGACATATTTCTAGTCCCATACATGAGGAATATCATGGGAACATTTCAATAAATGAATGAAATCAAATGAATATGCTAAACATTATCTGCTTGCATTTTGTTGACAAACATAATTTGCCATCTTTCTGCAGATGTAAATGATGCTGCTTTAAAACTGAATGAGACACTTGGGATCCCAGACAAGGCATTTGACAAAAGCTTTCAAGAATTACAAAGTGAAGTTGACAAAATGATGGCAGAACTTAGGAAGAGAAAATTGGAAGTGCAAAAGGCAGTAGCTCAAGATGAATTAGAGTAAGTGGTAAAGGGGAAAATATAAATGAAATAATAATTGATCTTACTATGCCTGTAATCAAATTTCCTTTCAGATTTGGGGAAAACACTCTCTCTCTCTCTCTCTCTGTGTGTGTGTGTGTGTGTGTGTGTTGGATCAATGTCATTGAGTTCTTAATATCCCCAGATTCTATCTATTTTGTACAGCTTTATTAATTTTAAAAAAACCTAACCGGAGTTTTCTTGGAGTTACTTTTATCCTGAATTATGATATATTTACAACTATTACCTCAAAAATGAAATTAGGAATAGATTTTAGAACAGTGAGACTTGAGGAAGCAACAGCTTTGGTCACTTCTGTGAAAGGCTCTTTTTTAAAAACCACATAGATAAAAGTATTGAGTTTAGAGAGTCTTTGGTGAAGTTAGCCGCTGGAAATAGAAACTAGATCCGTCAATCTGGGAATTTCAGCAGAAATGCAGAGTTTTGCAGGTAAAATGACTTTCTGCTTCTGTGAATCATCAATAAGGAGCCCAAAGGTTGAGATTAGTCTACTTCAGAGGATCTCTGCTTTGAACTTGATATTTGCAACTTCTTTCTGTATCAGCCTGATTCACTATTCAATTCAGGATCTAATTAAATCCAATGCATATATTTGAACAATTAATGAGGTTATGCCTGAATCTGTCAGCAAGAGACAAGCTAAGGAGCTGTTTAATACCTGCTAAAACCCATAAGCACTGCAAAGCAATATCATGAATGAAACATGTCCTAATGGATAGCTGCATAAACTAAGTCCATTTTAAACCCCTATCAGAAGAGGGCAGAATGAACAGAATGCAAGATCTATTATTCAACATTGTTTATGGTATGCTGTAGGTCAGCAGAAGACCTCTTGAGGAACATCAACAAGCTATTTGTAGAGCCAAGGAAGAAAACTGAAGACCTAAACAATGAAGTCAAAGAGAAACTAGCAGACTACCATGATAAAATTGATGATGCTCTGAACCTGTTAAGAGAAGCAACTAATAAAATTCGAGAAGCAGACAGACTATCAGCAATCAACCAAAGAAACTTGACAGCAATAGAGGTGGGTGCTTGGTCTTAAAGTCCCTTTTACTGACTTTTTTCATGTATAATCAATCAGAGGTCATCTGAACAAGATAAGGAGCTTTATTTTCCAGTTAAAAATAAAGCCAAAATGCTATGGATATAACTTAGTGAAATCTTTGATATATTATTTAAATTACTATTTGGAATAAGTTACAGCAGCAAAATTATTATTGAAATAGAAAGAAAATGGAAAGAAATTCTAGTGACTAGTTTGTGGTTAATATATAATACATATAATGTATAGTAATTCAAGTAAACTAAGCCCCTTAGAGTCCTGTATGGTCCTTACTTCATGCTCTATGTTGATATTCTAATCATATACACACAGGGAGAGGCAATTAATCTTCAATATTACTATGGCTACACTTTCTTTTCTCTCATGATCTCAAGTAAGGAATTAAAATGAGTACAGTATATGCAAATTCACATTATAAATCAAACCATCATATATCTTTTGTAGTTAAGTGATGTAAATGATTTTCCTTGATTTGAATGTAATTGCAGTGACTTGAAAGCACATTATACTGTACATTAACAAATGCTTAGCCATGACAGTAAGAGCAAAGTCAACCTCAAATGAAGATAAATGTGTTCCATTTCTTGTTTATGTCTCACTCATGTTTTGCCTAAAGGTAACTATTAATCCAATGGTAGCAGTTTCCATATATATGCTTCAAGGCTGCATTGGCTAACAGTCTTAAGGGTAGTATTGCTTCTCAGTCAGCTCTTAAAGTAGGAAGAAGAAATTACTAAGGGTTACAAACTCCCATCCTAGAGAGAGAGAGGGAGGGAGAGGGAGAGAGATACTGTTCTGTATAGAGGGCGTCCAAAGGGTATTTATTTATTTATTTATTTATTTATTTATTTATGAGACTTATATACCGCTTTAAGTGCAAGTACTCTCTAAGCGGTGTACACCAGTAAGCAATGTATATATATATATATTACATTGCCCCCAACAATCTGGGTCCTCATTTTACCTACCCGGAAGGATGGAAGGCTGAGTCAACCTTGAGCCGGTGAGATTTGAACCGCTGACCTGCTGAACACAGTCAGCTAAAGTGGCCTGCAGTACTGCACTCTAACTGCTGCGCCACCTCGGTAGGTTCGTAGGCCAATCACAATATATTTAATTAAAATTTTCAGAGAAAATGTTATTATACTTAGGAATGTTCAAAGGTCATATGTCAAATGAGGAAAGGTTTAAAGGAAAATAGCAACCAGTCTGAATGTTTAATGTAATTTATACTATAATTTGTCTAGGAGGCCTGATTTTTTGTACAACTTGAATGCATACATACAGATAGCACATAAATGTGTAGAAACCTTTTTTTTATTTGTGTTTACGTGATTCCACTTACTCAAAGCAAAATTTTTTTTTTATCATTTAGACTTCTGGAATATTTTTATCAAGTGTCATGACACCATGTTTCAAATCAGGAAGATACACTTTTGTTGTTTGGGGGATTGTTTCTGATGGTGGGACTTGTATGTATAAAATCTGCAGGAATTTCTTTTTTTTTTTTCCTTCCTTTGTCTTGAAGAACTATATTAAGCTTTGAGCACTTAAGGCTTAACACTGTTTAGAAATTATTTGGAAGAATTACTTTAGATTTTGTACAAGCAAACCAGCTCTCTGCTATTTATTAAAGCATACTGTTTTTCTTTCTGGCGTCAGCCTCAAACTGAAAAAGTCTATTACTGCTTTAATAAATTGAAACATTTAAAAATGTATCTATAATGCATGTCTTAAAGTAGCTTGGAAGCCTGAATTATATCCAAAACAGTTCTTCCAAATCATTTTCAAAGTGTCCAGTACTGTATTCATATCTAATTAAGTGCAAATCAGTCCAGAGATAATTGTGTTCAATTTCTAGGGATCCCAAAATGGACCACTTACAATATTTAGTCAAAAATCAGAGGAATGTAGCAGAGGCATGGTCAAAGCTGAGTAGTTATCAAGGTTTAGTCAATAAACAAGAGAAGAAGCAGAAAAGGCCAGGCAGAGATTTCCCACTGGAAATTAATTGCTCAGAATAAGGTAATGTCTGTAAGGCTTTACAGATCTTGACCCACTAGTATAGCTGCCTAGAATAAATGGACAGGGTTCAGAAATATCAGCATCCATAGACATCTGCTTTGTCAATTTACAGGCGGCTTGATTCATGTGAAAGAAAAATACAACTGTGTTTGGCAAGTAAATTACTTTTAGCATCATTAGCTTTCTGATAAAGTGTGTTTTGTAATAGGAAACATTGTAGAAGGTCTTTTTTAATGTTCTGGGTTTCTTATGCTGTTTCTGTTGTTGCCATCTCTAAATAGCTCGCATATCCCACAGTCATTAAAAAGGTTTATAAATAAGAGTAAACTAGCAATTAACATAGCAAATAATAACATTTCTAATGAACTAGGGCATAATGAAAGTTCAATTAAATAAAATGTTGTATAGTGAGAGGGGACAACCTCATCACATATCAGCTGCCAAGGTCAGCTAAAACTCACAGATTTTCATGACCTCCTTGAAGCTTAACAGGGTTGGGGCTACTTGGACTTCAAGGAGAAAGCTGTTCCAGAGAAGGAGAACAACCATTGAAAAGGTCCACCTTTGTCCCTGTTGATGCTATTCTTGAAAGTAGAGTCTCCTTCAAGTCATGCATGACTTCCAGAGACTTGAAGTTTTATTTTTTAATTTCATCCCTCAGTTTAATCTTCTGAAACATGGTAAACTGTCCCAAAAATATATAGTTTTAAATGTTATCATAAAGTATAACACACATCTCTTTATTTTCTTTATATAAGGACTAGTTAAGGATTTAATACAAAAAGATGCATTGGTCTATGAAAATTTAACACTTGTTTGCAACCAGCATCTCTTTTCAAGATTGGTGAGATTGTAGCAGTGAGGGACAAGTGCACAATTCATTTCTTTGCTTCTCTAAAAAAAAAAAAAAAAATCAAGTGCACAATTTCTGGGAAAATGCAGCTTTTTTAAGAAGTTGCAGATAGGTGCTAAGTACAGGTAGTTCTGTACAATAGCAATTGGGATTGGAATTTCCATCACTAAATGACGTTGTTGTAAAACCCAACATCATGTGACTGCACCATTTACTGATGGCCAGGGCTTTTTTTCTCATAGAACATCCAGAACGGAGTTCCAGCACCTTTTTTGGATGGAACCTTGTAGGGTAGGCAAGGTGGGTTGTGTGTGAGTTCCGGCACCTTTTTTTTTTTTTTTTTTTTAGAAAAAAAGCACTGCCGATAGCATTTCCACAGTTCCACTATTAAGTGAGGATCTTGGGTCGTTAAATGAGCACTTCCTTGCAACTTCCTGCCGATTTCCAACAACCAAAGGAATGAATGGTAGATTTATGACACAATCCTGCTCATTTTTTATGGATTTGGTTCCAGAAGAAAGAACAATGGTCTTTCCCTACTTTTCTCCAGAATGGAAGGGAAAAAAGCTCCTATGCCAGTTCCAAAGTTAGTATTGTTCCCTCTGGGTTCTAGGAGTGTGTCAAGTATATATGGAGAATAGGAAACTGCCAAGTTCCAGATGGCTTGCAAGCAGGCTGGCAGGGCAGGTAAATGGCTGCACAAGTGGCCAAGGAAGCACAGGACAAACATGCTGGGGCTTGGGTTAGCTGCTGCTAGGCCAGGGAGGATGCGCAAGTGGCGGGGGAAGTACTGCTTGCATGCAGCAAAGCTCAGGAAAGATATACAAGTGGTGATTTATTCAAGCAACTTGTGACATAGCTAAGAGTACCCCACCTATGAGAATCAAAATGTAAATCTCTTCTTATGAACAAAACACCAAACAATGCCTTTGCTAGTAAATTGAACGTGAGTAGCCAAATATATCTATAAATATAATGTTGGCACAGCACTAATTGAAATAATAATAATAATAATGGAAATATGATGTTTATTAGTATGTAAAATCACAAGTGTTTCTATATTTTGCATATAGAAAAAGAAGCAGGCTATAGAAAATGGACGACAGGAAACTGAAAATATTCTGAGAGAAGGGAATGACATCCTTGGTGAAACTAATGAACTTGCAAATGGAATCAATTTGGCTGTGGAGGTAAAATGTGATGTGTGTTTTAAGGGTGGAGGCAATAATGCAGTGCAACATAAAAGACAATCAGCAGGCAATAAAAATATAATTTATATTTTCAGATAGAATAAATAGTATATTGAAATACAGAGGATATGGCCAAGCTAAATGTTAGGTTAGAGGGGAAGGAAGCAAAAAAACTCTTCCAAAGATTAAAATGACAGAGTGACATGTTTGAACCGCAGGATTCCTTTATATTTGAATACGAGTAATTAATTAGTATATATTTTTTCAAGTTGTATGTTTGTGTTTTTTAATGAGGTATGAATAAATAAGCTGATGCTTTAATTTCCTAGGCATGTCAGATGCTCAGTACCCAAAAAAATTCAGTTAAGAATGACCCTTGAAAAGTAGATTATGTAATTCAACTGTTACTTCTGAGATGTTTGGAAAATGGAAGCATTTTTCTTGTAGAGGAAGGAAGCTGGTTATAATAACCCTAACCAATTGCTTAGGGAGGCAATCAGTGGTGGGATTCAAATATGTGAACAACCAGTTCTCTGTGTGGATGTTGCTTCCGGAAGTCCATTCTGAGCCTGGGCAACAAAAAATTAGCTACCAGTTCTGCCGAAGTGGTGCGAACTGGCTGAATCCCACCACTGGAGGCAATGAACTTCCCTTCATTGGATATAAAAATGTTTGGGATGCGTCAATGGTCATCCGGTACAAATTTGAATGAAGAAAAATATATTTCAAAACATCACAAGACAAGCCTCAACTTTTGTACCTGCCTCAGACACAAGTATGCAAGTCCCATGGTTGATTTCATGACATATGTCAATATTTGCCCCACTTGTCCTTCCATGGAGACACCTGTGGATGCTTTAATTTGACCTTAAGCATTTAAATGATTGGTCATGATGTCCAATGTTCTCTTCCAGTCATTTGGTTCCATGGGTTTATAATTCTGCTATACTATCCCAAGAGTACTTGAGATGGGAGTGAGACAAGAATACAGACTGGACCTGACAGTAGCCTATCCACCCTAAAAGTCAATTCATTTTATTTCCTGGAGAGAAAAGATGTTCTAATCATATTCATTGTATATATCTATTCCTCATTATGAGCTTTTTCTGACTTGCATTTAAGTATGGGACCATGAAGACAATTACTCTCTTTATTACATGGAAATAACGTTAATAGGTCAAGTTCAATTTTCAAAGTGCCAAACACATTCTAAATGCAGCTTCAGGTGGAGGGGAGGAAATGCACCTCATAAAGCTTTGCTAGATTGCTCCTATGGACAGAGAAATAGAGTAATGGACTACAATGAAATGGTAGTTTCCCAGGAAGGAGGGAGCACAACCAAGGAGGGTGATGAGAGAAGAGACGAAGCCCAGTGTTGTCTTGGAGAAGGAGGAAGAGATTAAGGATACTCACTCCCTAGAATCTTCCAGGGTGTATCAGTTAGGTTTAGAGTAGTATAGGCAAGAGTAAGTAAAGAAGTGAACTTTTGCTGGATTGCTCTATGTTGTTCTTAGACTGAACCTGACAGTAGCCTTTGTATCTACCCTAAAAGTCAATTCATTTTATTTCCCGGAGAAAGAAGATATTCTAATCATATTCATTGTATATGCTATTCCTCATTATGGACCTTTTCTAACTTGCTTTTAAGTATGGGACAAATATGTCCAGACAACCTCTATGTTTTGTCCTGTTCCCACAATGTTGTGTTCGTCTCATCATAGTTTGATGAAAATCTTCAATTTGCAAATGCCTCCTGTCTTAAAAGAGGGCAGCCTGTCTTCTCAGAGCTCCATGTTAGATTAGCCCATCTTTCTGATTTTAATCAGAAACAAATACTATGCATAGATAATTGGTTCTAGAAAATTCATGAAGAACAGTTTTATCAATTATAATGTATTTCACAGCATGCTCTAGCTGAAGGCATAAGTTGATGGCGTAATGAAATGTGCTTTTTTGCTAATGGGTTCCTCTCATAACTAATTGGCTAAATTACTTTTCATTATGCCTTTAAGCAAATAGAATCCAAGAAATATCATTTTGAATGTGGCTGAGGTGAGAGTGCTGATGAAATAACAGTTTTGTATTAATTAACAAATCCCACTTTATATTCTGATAAGATGTGATTAGTTAAGTTTGTGTAGTCAAGAGGACCATAAAAGTTCAGTTCAGCTTTGAGACCAAGCAGGTAGAATCCTAAACGCAGAAATCTGAACTATAGGTGACAGAATTCTTTTAATGGATGATAAAGCTCATTGATTTATTTCAGTATAATAGGATAATAATCTTGTTACAAGGGGCTATAATTTCAGTGCTTAAACGGTCGGTTACTTAAACATGCTTCTGTTTTCTTCTTCTTAGAACATAGATGATATTAAGAACAAAATAGACTCGCTTTCTGAGGAGCTAAGAAATAAAATAGATAATCTCTCTAAAGATATCATAAGAAAGAAGCTTCCAGAAAAGGTACTGCAGGCAGAAGCTCATGCTGCCCAGCTGAATGATTCATCTGCTGTTTTGGATGGGTAAGTTGACAAGATTGTTATTTCACTTTCATGAACTCTAGAATTATGTAGCTGGGAAAATAGAGGAAACATGTTCTCCTTTAACTCTTTTTGACAATTAAACAGACATTCCCCAACTCCATTATCATATTTGTGTAAGCTGTCCCAAGGCAAGATGGCAATGTCCCAATCTTCCCAAAGAAATAGGCTGACTTCAGTTCTTATTCTTGATTTTGGATTGATAAATAGAAAAAATAAGAGAGAGAAAGAATTTCCAACGAAATTAAGTCCTTTGAACTTTGGAGTGTAGAATCAATGCTCTTTAGCATGAGATGAGTGTTTCTTCTTGTGACATTGCAGTATTCTTGTTCTGTGGCCTAATCTCAAACATGTCACATTTGTTCTTTGTTGTATTTTTTCCCTGGCTAGAAGCAACCTATAAATTGAAATTTGGTGCATGTCTGCACAAAAGAAAATCTGGCTGAGTCCTGTAGGGACTACCTATGTGCAAAAAGACATTAATACATATGGGTCTAGAATTAACATCTAAAATTCCCCCTTGGTTTTTTAAAAGTTGAATATGTATATTTTTTCCTAATAGAATCCTTGATGAAGCTAAAAACCTCTCTTTCAATGCAACAATAGCTTTTAAGGCCTACAGCAATATCAAGGACCATATTGACAAAGCTGATGCAATTTCTAAAGATGCTAAAGCTCGTGCCAATGAAGCCATACAACTGGTAAGGGAAAGGGAAAATCTCTTGATTTTCTCAAATAATCTTCTTTCAATATCTTGCTATTTCTCAGCAATTATTTATCAGATATTATTATCATGCTCGTTAATATAGGTTAGTGTTACAACATTTAATGCAACTGCTAATAAACATTTATCAAGAAATTTTAAGCAATGGCCCAAAGTGCATTTTGGCAAATTAAACCTAGTTACTCTACACACAACAAACTCTCAAAAAATAGATTTTACTATTTTACTCAAAATATTTGAGTTATTTCTTGGAGGAATTCCATAAAATAGCTTTATCAGGCATAACCATCACCATCCAGAACCTGTTTATGGTTAGTAGAATTAAAATAAGGTTTATTACTAAACACCTAGAGTATAATAAATATCATAAATAAAGTATAATCAAACTACTGCTATTATTATTTAGCTTATTAAATCTCATGTCAGTAGCCAGCTTAGTTTTACGGATTTTTTCTGTAATTGATACACTAATCAAGTCTCTGCTGGTGGACCAAGAGAAGGACTTCTGCAAATGATTTTGAAGCCTGGATTAGCTGTGGTCTTTAAAGAAGAAAGTCTTTTTAACCAGATTAATCAGTGTATAGGGCTTTTCTCTTTAAATTGTTTTCTTTACTGCCATAACTAACCAAACTAGGCTTATACTGTAACATATATTTACTGTCACAGTAAATCATTCTTATTTACTTTCTTTCTCTTTGTTTCTGACTCTTCTTTCACATTTTTTTATTTATGTAATATTTATTTATTTGTATCCCTTCTTTATTATTTTTACAAATGACTTAAGGAGGCAAACATAGCCAACATATCTTCCTCCTCCTATTGCTGTGATATTGCCTTTATTGGCAAATTCACAACATATTTTACAGTAAATCCATTGCCATATGAATTTTCACATAGTTCCATACCCAAGTTTCCCATTTTCCATAGATAATTCATTTGTTTAATCCCAGTTCTCTAGAATGTTCATCACATGCTTGCTATCATCTGTTTTTTTTATGTCAATCAGATAGTTCAATAAAGAATTTAGACTAAATAACCTTTTATTTAGTGGTGTAAAATGTCACACTCATCGAGATAAATCAGTTATCTATTAATATCAGCCTCTACTGATCTATTCAATCTCATGGAAACAATTTTACACTACATGTAACACAGCCATGAAGTCCTGCTCAAGACTCAAGCCAAATTCAATTATTTAGTTCTGACTACACTGACTTTTCACTTTTTATATTGCAAATTGGGTGTCTTAACAATTTCATTATGTCTAATGAAATTTTTATTAGACACTTAACCATTCACTCTTATTTATTAGTAATAATATTCAACTTTGTATATAGCCCCTTCTAGATCTAGAAATGCAATGTAGCAAGAGTCTCTGTTGCTGAATTTGGCAGTAATTCTCTCTTCAAGAACAAATTGTTGTCATGGTTAGTTTTTAACAATGGGAATAATTTTAAATCTTATCTTTTTACTATAAAAATAAAATAATTTTACTATGTGTGTGTGTGTGTGTGTGTGTGTATAGTATAGAAGACAACTATATAGTATAGTATATAAGACAACTATATAGTATATAAGACAACTATATCTTATATCTTATCCTGTCCACCATGACTGCCACAATCAAGTTTAAACATGTTGTCAAGATTGAGCATCATTCCCAGTGTTTCTCAACTTTAGCAACTTTCAGATGTATGGACTTCAGCTCCCAGAATTCCTCAGCCAGCATGCTGGCTGAGGAATTCTGGGAGCTAAAGTCCATACATCTGAAAGTTGCTAAGGTTGAGAACTCTTTCTTAAAGCTCAAACCTGACAATGAGATGGATAACAAATCTACTATAATCCAATTTTCATTTACCATCCCTGACTTTTGAAAATGAAAATTTGAGTTGGTGCTTTATGATTCTATAGATAAATTATAAGACAATGAGCAGTGATGGTTACTTGAAGAAGTTTAACATGAATCTTGCACTGCTTCTTTTGGAAAAGCTGGGTACTTACTAAATACCATCTAGGAGTAGAATCATTTTTACTTAGGACATAGCTCAATTTAGCAATGAGTAGTGAGCTAAATTTCCATTATAGTATCAGTTTATTCACATTACAGTTCTTTTTCTTTAATTTGCCAATGACATGTCTTCCCATTCATAAAGGCTAATCTAGGGCTTTCTCATACATACTTCCAGAAGAGGTGGGACAAGGACAAAAAGTAGTTTTAATTTTATTTAATTTAAATATAACTACATTTAAATTAGCTAATTTTAAGCTAATGTGATTTACTTCACATGAATTTAATAATTCACTATTCTGTCATATTAAACATTACAGTTTGATGGTAATAATTAGAAAGCTCTGGAGGCTACATCAAATAATTTAGAAAAGTGTGAGTGACTTTGGGGTCTCAATCTATTCAATTCTGACTCACCCATAAAAACTTTTTCCTGTTTGAAATGATTGTAGTAGAATGGCTCCCCTCCCCCACAATTTTAGGAGATTTTATACATGTTTCTGTTTCCTAGGGATGAAAGAACAGAGAAGACTCTGTTTTTAGAATTAAACCAAAATAACAAAGCAAGTATGATATACTGCTCAAAAAAATAAAGGGAACACAAACATATAGGATCCTATACATTTGTGTTCCCTTTATTTTTTTGAGCAGTATGTATTACACTGATCTAAGGTAACAATTCAAAGCAAATTTGTGATGTTTTCAATCATCATAGTTCTTCAGCTATGTTGCACTGCTTTTTTAAATAAAGCAGTCAATTTCTCTTGATTCTTTTTCCTGGAATCTTTTCAGGTATAGCAAATAGTTGCTTCTGTTACTTTTCTTCTCTAGGCATCTGGTCCAGAAGGCTCATTAAAGGATGCTGCCAAGAATGCCTTACAAAAAAGCTTCAAGGTTCTTAATGATGCCAATAAACAGGCAAATGATGTTAAAGGTATGTATTCACCAATAAAGGAAAACAGTTGTAGCTCAAGGTTGAAGTGAGGCATCCTTGGTGTTCTCTGAGCTTGGTTGTTTTCTTGCAGACATTTCATTACCCAAACTAGGTAATATCATCAATGCTATCGGTAGTCAGGAATTGGTTGCTCTGTTTACGTTTTAGTGGCTTGCTCTATCAGAGTTGGTGGGGTGGTCTTGGGGGTGCTTTGGTTGAGCTGTTTACTGCTAGCTTGTTTGGCAGTTCCTTAATTGGAGTATTGTTTACTTCTTGATTGTTGGATTAATGTTAATTTTGGTCTTAATCCATGCTTATCTGGGTGTTGATTTTGGGTCTTTTTGTTCTCTTTTTGGCTTGTTGGTTTTCCCTTTTGCACAGTAAGTAGATGTTGTTCATGTCTATGTTTCTATTGTTGGCCAATTCCAGGCTTCCAGGAATTCTTTAGCATTTTTTGATTTGGCTTGGTCTAGGATGGTCACAGTTTCCCACTTGAAACTGTGATTAAGTCTGTCCATATGTTGTGAAATTAAAGAGTTTTCATCATGTCTTCTGACTGCTGGTTGGTGTTCATGGATGTGTTCTCCTGGTCTTCTGCCTGCTTGTCCTATATAGAGGCTGTTGCAATATTTACACTGTTATGTTGTAGGGGACTCCTGTTTGTTTTTTTTCTTATGGGGCTGTTGGTATTTTGGCTTACGTAGGATGTTTAGGAAAGCCCCAGAAGAAAAAAGAGAGTTATCTACAATGTTGAGTCCGTGGCGGGAAAACAGACACGAGAAGCAGCTGGAGTTCTCAGTTTCATTTATTCAGCGTTCAGCTTACAGGAAGATGGCTTCAGCCTCGCCCAAACGCCTCGCAGCCTCTTATATAGGCAACTCCCGGGTAAATGGGTTACTTTTCCCGCGCCAGCACCCGCGCATGCGCACGGCGCTGGCGACAGCCTGTCTGGTCCCGGGCAGCTTTGCACCTGCCCGGGACTGCCTGCAAACGCCCGAGCCGTTTGCAAGGCTCGGGACATAACACCCCTTTCCCCCGGGCTAAAACTACTACCAACATACAACATTTATTTTATATGACATTTTGCTCCCCAGTGCTCCCACTGATTACTGGCTTTTGCCTTGCCAGCAATGTTATGTAATCTTCTAGATACTTAGGAGATTTCTTTGCTCTCTGTGACCTTCTTAGCTCTGGGTTACTGGCATAAGTCCCCTGACTGGAGGGAGGCGTGAGCCTGTTCTCTCTATTGTGCCCTGGTGTCTTCCAAGGACTGTGCCCCGATGCCTGGCCTTGCTTGCTTGCCCACCGGGCTCGTCAGGCCAGGGCTTCTGTTACTTTGTGACCTGGTTGACCTACCTAGCTGTAGACCCTCAGGCCCCTTGAAGTGATAGCCGCTGCTGGGCGTCTCTGTAGAACCTCCTAGGTCAGTCCAAGACCTGTCAGGAGGCTGTCCATTCCCTGAACCCCATTCTGTGTTCGGGCTCGTGTGGGTTTCTGTACTTTCCCAAAACTCAGGTGTTCCCTGATTTGTGCTAGGGTTGTTGTAGTCGGGACTTGGTTCCTCGACTAACTCTGTGTATGTTTGACCCCCTGTAGGATTTGGGGTAAGGTCAGGCCAACCTTGGGAATTGTGTGCCAGTTCTCTTGCGGGGAATGATTTGTTGGGATGCCCCCGGGTATCCTCCGTTGCTGGAGTGCTGTGTGATGTGTGTGGAAAGTGAGTATGCCCCCGGGGTGACTCCCTGGCTGGAGTAGGCGTGAGTGCCTGTTGTGTGGGTAAGCTCCATGACTTTCTTTTCGGAGCAATTGCAGAACCTTGGGACGAGCCGTTTGTGGCTCCCTCAGTGGAGATGGGCAGTAGCTCTTGCCCTTCCCTTTGCTCCAAAGGGTCCCCCTCCCTCCCTGGAAAAGACCCAGGAGTCTCAGCAGAAAAGTCTCGCCTAGAGCGAAGTTGGTCGATGTGCCGACGCAGGACACGACCGTTGTCCAGGGCAACCTCGTAGGAGAGAGGACCTGTGATCCTGGACACAGAAGCGGGGACCCATGTATGACCAGGCCCGTAATTGCGAGCCCAAACCGGGGCACCCACAAGTAGTTGTCTAGGTGCCCTAGGATGTGAGGTAGATGAAGGCAGTCTGTCCGGATGCAACCGGTCAAGTCTAGTAGTAAGTTGGCGCCCCCAACGAAGTTCAGCTGGACTTCTCCCTGTAGAAGTGGACGGTGTGGTGTGATAAGAAAGGAGAAAGTCAGCCAACCTGTGATGCCAGTCCCCGTAGGTGAGTCTCTTCAAGGCGTCCTTTGCGATGCGCACCATGCGTTCAGCCATACCGTTGGTGGACGGGTGAAAAGGCGCAGACGTGGCATGACGAATCAGGTTTGCCTGTAAGAAAGCTTGGAATTCGGAGGAGGTGAATTGAGGGCCGTTGTCGGACACAATGACATCTGGCAGCCCGTGTGCAGCAAAAATCCCCCTCAGTACCTGAATAGTCTTTGCAGTGGTGGTGGATGAGACAGGCACAACCTCAAGCCATTTTGAATGGCTGTCAACAAGGACCAAGAAGAACTGGCCCTGAAAGGGCCCAGCGTAGTCAATGTGCACCCTAGACCATGGGGACTGTGTTTCCTCCCATCTATGCACAGGAGCTTGGGGCATCTCTGGGCGAGATCGTTGGCACAGGTGGCATGCGTGTACCTTAGCCTCAATATCTTTATCTAAAGCAGGCCACCACAAGTGGCTGCGTGCAAGAGCCTTCATACGAACAATGCCAGGATGACCCTCGTGGAGGGATTCTAAGACCCTAGTCCTCATTGAGGTGGGAATGACAACTCTGTTTCCCCAAAGCAGACAACCCTGAGAAAGGGACAGTTCGTTTCTTTTGGACCAGAAACTCTGAAACTCAGGACTAGGGCAGTGCTCAGGCCACCCGGACAGGACCCAGGAGCGGACACGTGAAAGTGTGTGATCTGTACCTGTTTCAGCGGTAACATCCCTGGCACTAAGAGGGAGCTCGGGCAAGGCTTGGATTGATAGAATGTTGACAGCTGGCGCGGGGTCAGCTTCTACTACTGGCAGAGGCAATCTACTGAGGCCATCAGCATGGCCCATTTCTTTCCCAGGCTTGTGGAGTAATGAAAAATCATATGCAGACAAAAAAATAGACCACCTAAGCATTCTAGGGGAAATGATGTGGGGAGTCTGCTTACGTGTGGTAAACAGTCCCAGCAGAGGCTTATGGTCAGTGAAGACCGTGAAATGCCTGCCATATAGAAAATCGTGGAATTTTTTAATTCCAGCAACAACAGCCAGAGCCTCCCTGTCTATCTGAGCGTAGTTGCGCTCGGCAGAAGACAGTGTTCTGGAGTAGTATGCAATAGGAACCTGAGTTCCATCAGACCTGAGGTGACTCAGGACAGCTCCAACCCCGTAGGGGGACGCATCACAAGCGATGCACACAGGGAGAGACTCGTTGAAATGTGCAAGAACACTGTTAGAAGTGAGCAAGGCCTTGACTTCTTTAAAGCAAGCCTCATGCGCTTGTGACCACAGCCACACAGCCTGTTTGTCTAGTAGCCTGTGAAGAGGCTCAGCTACACTAGCTTTATGTGGAAGAAAAGAATTGTAGAAATTCAGGAGGCCTAGGAAGGCCTGAAGTTCGGCCTTAGACTTTGGCCTGGGTGCATCTAAAATAGCAGTTAGTTTGGATTCAGCAGGATGAATCCCAGCAGCATCAATTTTGAATCCCAGAAATTCAGTAGAAGGCACCCCAATCTGGCATTTGTCTTTTCTGAGCTTGAGGCCTGATTTCCTGAATCTTAACAGGACAGCCCTAAGCCTTTCAGCTAGAATGTGTGTGGAGTCTCCTGCAATCAAGACATCGTCAAAGTAGGGGCAGACCCCTGGTATACCTCGTAGTGTGTTTTCCATAACGCTTTGGAAAATCCCAGGAGCGACATTCACTCCAAACTGTAGCCTTTTTACTTTAAAGGCTCCCCTGTGGGTCACAATGGTCTGAGCTATGGCAGCATCATCATCAACAGGCAGCTGTTGATATGCTTGAGCTAGGTCAAGCTTTGCAAAAACACGCCCCCCCTTGAGAGAGGCCAGGATGTGACTGACCACAGGAACAGGATAGGCATGTTGCTGCAATGCCTTATTGAGTGTGCATTTGTAATCAGCACAAATGCGAATGTCCCCATTTGCCTTTAGAGGCGTGACAATGGGGGTCTCCCACGGGCTGGAATCAACAGGTTCTAGGATTCCCTGTTGGATTAGTTTGTCTAGTTCAGTGTCAATCTTACTTTTTAAAGCAAAAGGGACCCTTCTTGCTTTAATCCTAATGGGAGTGACAGTGGGGTCTAGCTTTAAGGACACAGGTGGTCCTTTGAATGTGCCCAGCTGGGGGCTGAAAACATCTGCAAATTCTTTGCAGACTTCCTGTAGGTCGAGTGTTTGTAAGCTATTGAGTCCTGTGACGTGTATCCCCAGGGCCTCAAACCAATCGAGTCCTATGAGACTCGTTCGTTCACCCCCTACTACTAATAAGTCTAGTGGACCTTCAAAACTCTTGTATTGCACGTTAAGGGTGGCCTCCCCCTTAACACACACTCTTGAGTTCTGAAAATCTGTTAATACAATATCAGAAGGCCTTAACTTGGCCTTAGACCCACTTCTGGAACAAATCTTCCTAAATGTATGCAATGAAATGATGGACAGGGCAGACCCTGTGTCTAGTTCCATAGATAATGGAACCCTTGTAGCTTCACGTTGAGTGACAGCTTTTTCTTCATGGGCTTGTGTGTGCCTGTTCTACAGATGCTTCTTCGCGAAGCGCAAAAACCTACCCTATTCTGGCTGGGGAATCTGGTACCCTTCAGGCGTTCTTCTTGGGGTTGTGCCTTTCGTCGGCCCAGGCACACAGCTGCAATGTGCCCTTGTTTACCGCATGCCCGGCAGGTAGCGGAGCGGAACTTGCAGTCGGTTCTCCTGTGGCGACCTCCAC